ATTTAAACTAGAGTATTTTGCCATTTTCTATACATCTAACTCTCATTTGTCTCGAGATCTATTGATCCAAGCACATAGCTTTTAGACTCACCAATCTTTTAGAACTCAAAAATTTAAACGGTGAAAAATAAAGTAGACATTTAAGGACTTGAATACCACAAATCTGGATATGATATATCTATCTATTTGTAGTAGAATAATGTGAATTATAAGATTAAGTAATCCTAAAGTAATGGGAGATTGAATTTAAGTTGAAAAATGAATGAATGAAAGAAGACCAAACATGAAAAGGAAATGTAGCCTAAACACCATTGTATTTGGGTAAATGGAAAAAAAAAAAAAAAAAAGAAGTAAGAGTTTGCTTAAAGCTGGGGCAAAAAGGGGAAATAGGGTTTTGTAGTTGCAAGTTGGTAATTTGGAAAAAAATGGTAAAAGAGGGTGCCATCTCCCAAAACCAATTGCATTTAAATTATTGGATTGGAATGGTAGAGATGCTTAACGGTCACTTTTCCTGCACTGTACATGTACGATTTTGAACTTTGAAGCCCACTTGTTTATTTATTTATTTACGATGTAATGGTTATCTTCATTGGTTGCTTTTTGGGTGAGACAAAAAACAAAGCCGTAGCAATTATGTCCAAAGCAGACAATGCCGTATTCATTGTGGATATATTTGAGGTACTTGGGGTGCTAACGTCCTAGGCCCAGGATTCGGAATCTGGATTTGGCCCTAATCGCCCCGACATTCTCCTTCGATCCGACTACGCCACCACCCTCTAACTCTTAGCTATTTAGAAGAGCATAGACTATCCTTACAAACTAATACAAGTCCTTCCAGCATGCAAGCACACTTAACTTTGAAGTTCTTACGATTGAGCCATCGAAAATGAAGGTGCATCATATTAGTATAAGTAGTGACTATCAATTCTTTTAACCATTTCTTGATCATTCTTCCATGATCTCAGAATCCCCTCTCATTTGGATGTGGTTCATTCGTGTACCCTTCATCTCTAGTCGGGCGTCACAGTACGGTTATCCTCAGCACCAGCAGCAATAGTTTTTTTTTTTTTAATGTATAATTTTTAATTTAAGGAAAGTATGTTTGAATTCATTTGGACTAATTTATAGACGTAAATGGAGAGTAATTATGTGGAGAAATTTGAAGATGGGTTGATGATTAGTTGAAAGTAGAAAGGGAGGAGAGATTTGTGGTTCCGAAAATGTTGAAGACAAAAACTGGCTTGCGTCTGCGCCTGCCTTTCTCAGTCTCTCTGTCGCTCTATAGAAAGTAAACAATTTTTAGAGACTCACTTCCAAACCCAAGCCAAAGCCCATGGCCTCGGGTCCTGTCCACAATTCCATTCATTTATGGACAAAAAAATGCTAAATCAATCTGCATCGTTTATTATTATTTTACCTTTTTTATATATCAAACAACAACTTTTGATGGTGATTGATTTGTATCAATAAAATAATATAGGTTTGTTACAATACAGTGAGAGTCAACTCCAGCACAATTCAGTTGTTGAAAGATATTTCTTCTTTCTTGAAGGTTGAAAGTTCAATCTTTTGGACTTGATAATCTCATGAAGTATATAAATTAATTTATTTTAATCTACAATCGATCTAAAAAATGATATAGTCAATATGAACATAACTTACGACATATGTCATCTACCAAATTAAAAGATCGAAGGTTCGAATCTCTATCCTCATGTACTACGTCCAGTTTTTTGCAAAGGTAAATTTTACTATGTGAAGATTATTATAGTTGGATCTCTAAATGCTCAAAGCTGTTAAGGTATCACAACAATAATGACTACCTAACACTTTAGGATAATGTCGTGGCGCTGTGGACGATACCTAGACGTTTTCTTCTCGACCTCTCGTCTTGTGCTGCAACACTTTCATCCTAACTTTGAAATGATCACTTCCCAACTAATCTTCTCGTTGAGAATTTCATATTACGAAAATAAGTATTTTATACATATATATGAAAATGAGGATTCAAACCTATGATCTCTTGGTCTCGTAAATAGATTCTAATTATGGCTGAACTAAATTCATCTTGACGGTAAATCATTTAATATAAATGGATTGATTTAAAAGTATTTTACTACCTGATGGATTTAATTATAAAAATATACGAACTTACTTTTTGATTAAAAATAATATAAAAATAAAACAACAAAATGTATTTTAACCCTCTGATTCATATTGCATAAACATAATAAAATGAAATAATTTAAATTACTGCCATATTCCACCGTTATTCCATTATTTCGTATTTCTTTTTTTCATTTTTCCTTAAATGCCCTAAACGGTAAAAAAGGTTTCCTTCTACTGGTAGCCGATAGGGTAGAACAAGCAATTATAATTATTATGGGGTAGATGATCAAACTCACAACCTCTTCATTGAAGATATATGTCAATTACTACTCAACTATACTCGTTTTGACGTAATAATATACACATTATACTCTATCTCTCCTTCAACTTCATTATATGATATATCTATGTATCTTTATTTAAAAATGGTTGATTCGAATTATTGAACATAGTTAAAGTGGATAAAGATATTTATTATCTTCTCTCTTGTTTCTATCTCTAATTTATAATTTATAAAATATATATATTTAATTTAACCCAGATGAAATAAATTCAGAAATATATTTAATTTTCATCTGATTTTTAATGTTTTAAAGTATATTAAGTGGATATATTTCAAAGTCATATAAAATCCAAAAGATTTTATTTTATTTTACTTTTTATTTATTTATTTTAACTATTCTACTTCACCTGAAAAGAGGGCATCAATGTCCTAATTACATTCTGAATCTCAAAAAGCACAAGCTACCCATAACCGAGGATTTGATGCCTATGCGCTCATAATTTCTACAAAATTAGCAAGAGGAATTCTTCTCGAGGATGTTTCACAATCAATTTTTCACAAAGGTCTATTTTCAATGAAAATTTTCACTTTTATACTTTTACGATTTTTTTACTATATTGCCCTTTTTTAATTTCGACCATTCAGGTCTATTATGTCTATTTATCTTCATTGATACTTTTCATATACATGTTTTTTTAACTAGTAAGAAACACGTGTCTTGCACATAGAATCTTGTAGTTCTAAATTAAAGTAAAACAAATAGTGTTTTTTAAGTTTATAATATTATCATTTTAAAGAAAGAAAGTGATTATATATAAATATAAATTCAAGGTATGATATTGTTGTAATAAAAGAAGATGATGAAATATTAGTATGGAAAGTAAGTACAAATTTGAAGTGTAAGAAAGATGAAAAAGCACCAACGTGCAAGGTTTTTTTTTTAATGAATGAACGTTCTTAATTTACCTCTAATTTTCTTGATTATAAATTATTATATTACATTTTATCTTTGTTAAATTGTATGACGTTAAATCATTGAGTTTGTTCATTCTAGAATGAAAAAGAAAGGTAAGAGTGAGAGAAAGAGTAAACCCTAAAAGGTCCAACCTGATGATATTGAGAGGGATAAAAATTGTTTGTTTACCCTAACTTTGTAAAAATAATTACAACATTTCACATATATAAATCAAAAACATCAGTTTAAAAAATAAATAAATAAAAATCAAACTCATAAGCATTCTTATTATCCAAATTATGAGAATAATCGAATTTTGCTTTTTATCTCGATTCCATCGACCACCATCTCGACACATCGTACTCTAGAATTTCTTTCAATTTGAACAATGATAAATTTGGGGAAAGTGAACCGATGCCATCAACTCAGCTTTAATTTGGTTTCTCTTCACTATCAATTCTCCTCTCGATCACCCATATGTGCATTGTTGTTGTCGTTGCTAAAGCAAGAGAGTAATTTTCATACCTTCACACCACTTGGAAAATTTTCCACTTTGTTCCATCCACGACCTCTTCATTTTTGGTTGGCATGAGAAAGAGAGGACACATATTTATATATGGATTGGAAGGGGATTAGGAAGATGAAATGATTGGGAGAGGGTATGTGATAATTTGAAGGGGGTTAGGAAGATGAAAGGATTGTGGGAGAGTATGTGGTAGATGAAAGTAGTTAAAAAAGAATCAATGAAAAAGATAAAGTTAATGAAAGAATAATTAAGAGAGAGAAAATTAGTAAGAGAAAATAGGGGAATTTAGAGGGATGAGATCGTGATGGAGAGAAGCGATAAATTGAGAGAGAGAAAATTTGTATTTAAATGACACAATTGCCATCAAAAGAAAAGTGAAAAGAGTTATAATGAGAGGGCAAAAATGGTATATAGAAGTTTCTCTTCATCCTACATTTTATATATACTATAGATTAAGACAAAACATTCTTCCATTTATTAAAGATTTTATATTTTCAAATTTATCTTGCTTAATTTTTCTATAATTCTTTTTTTCTAGTACAATATGTAGGGGTGAAGGGATTGAACTCACAAGTTGGAGATTATGCCAATTATCGAAGGAAAATACTCATGTTTTTCTCAAGGCACAGCTTAGCAAAGTCCCTACCCAAATTTAGATCTTAGGTCTTCTTTTAACTTTAGAGCACCACCGAGAACAAATGATGTAAATATTTCGAAATGCACATGTCACCCCAAACATTTCACCCGAGAGATTGACCAGGTTAGTGGGACAGATTTTGGCTCTACTTCAACCTCGTGAGAGGTGATTGTACCAGTAGCAAAAAGATCTCAATCTCAAGAGTTACCATATCATATGTGTTACGAAAATGAGTTACCATATCATATGTGTTACGAAAATGGACATGACACAGCAAGTTGCTAGTATAACTTACTCACACAAGGGTTAAAAGCTTTTTAGTCAAAGGCTCGCTTTGGCTTTTTGTTCTATAATTCTTGTTCGAATTTTTCGACACATATATATTTTTTCAACACCTACATGTACTCCTCAAAAGGTTGTTATTATATACTAATCTATAATATATATTTTTTTTAATCGAATTTACAGTATGATAATAATATACTCTCAATGTGTTACGTATACCCGATTCATATTCCACAATATATCCAAAATACATGCTGCATATATATATGATTTAATTAAAAGAAATATATACCCAATATACACTCCATATACTTTCTCTTTGAAAAAAAAAATCCTAGGATGACCGCAGATCTGGGCTACTGGCCATTGCTATCGGGGTTCAGCTTGCTGGAGGAGAACCACAGATCTGGTGCGGTGGGGGTTCGCATCGTCGTCGAAGAGGAGTGCAACCGAAAGGGAATCGCCGCCGCGTGTCTGCTTGTCGCGCCGCCGCGACTGTTGCCGAAAGAGTGTTGCAGGGGGCGTGCATATTTGGTTGTTCGGGTCCGTGGGTGTTGCGCTACAAATCTAGTCGTGGAGGTCGTCACAGATCTGGTCGGGTTCGTGGTTGTTCGTGGATGTTCAGGTTCAGGTTCATGGGTGTTGCACCGCCGTGGGTTTGCCGCTGCTGAAGTCGAATTTCTTGAGCCGCCACCATCTGTGGCTTGTCGAACTCGTAGGGGCTGCGTACTATCGCACGTTTCATCGGATGGGTCTCGCCAGTGCCGCTGGTTTGAGATCTGAGGTTGCCGAAGAAAGAGGTTGGGGTTGTGGTAACTGGTCAGAGAGGAGGAAGAGAGATGGACCTATGATTTCAAAAGAATTTGGGGTGTAAAAATTATATAATGGAGATGCCTTAAAATTGAGTTTTCCCCCCTTATCTGTATTTTATTTATTAAAAATATATTAACATCGGTAGCTTGGTAATTTTCACATGGACCCCTATTCTATTTATTAAGATTTAAGTCATTTGTGTAATTAGGTTATCTCAATTAACAAAGGAGTCTTGTGTTTGTTTTAGGGGAAAAAAAAACAAAAGAAGACAATAACTGTCTTTAAGCAAGTCAACTAGAAAATAATTGATACGCCTAGTCATGGGCCAAAAATATTGGGCCGAATCCAGGTTGTTAACAAAACGAGAGCCCAAATGAAACAAGCCGACCCATATCGTTGGGCTTGGGCCGGCTGCTTCCACAGTCCAACCTCAATGAAGCAATAATAACTACACAGATATCAGCAAGCTGAAGAAGTTGGTCTTACCAACAAACAAGTCTGTTCCAATCCACAATCTCTGTCCTGTCCCAAGCAGTGTGAAAAACATTGCATTAGTAGTAACGTAGTAGACACGGATTGTCACCAAACTAGACCATTCAACGTTACGCGTCATTGCAAAATCCGAGCCTCAAATGTTCGAGGATGTCGATTAGTATGTTATATATGCCAGACATCTTCTACATTTGAAAGGAATAGTCAGTTTTTTAGAGAATCCAGCACCTGCAGTCTGGTGAACTTGGGGCTCCTTCGAACCAACGATCCCAGAGTGGATTTACAACGCCATGCAGCCTGTAGACAAGAAGTTAAGCTGATAAATAAATAAATAAATAAATAAATATAAATATATATATATATATATATATAGATCGATATGGTTGAGGGAGGGCGTTGTGTAAAACATACACTGGCAAAAGTGGGTCTGATTTGGCTTCAATGCAGGGTAGCAATCTGGGAGCATAAAAGAGGATTGTTTTAAATCCATATTCGAAAACATTTCATTGTAAATGAATGGATTAAAATTACCTTCTTCCTCCATTTCCCTATGCTAATTAGTGATCTCAATGCGCAACACCAGAAATAAAAGGGGAAAAATATGTAAAAAGGATAACTTGACTTACTCCTTACATATGGTTGAGATGTTTCCCATTTTCTCAACCTCTTCCAACTCTTCCTGAACAGAAGAAAACATTTACAAGTCAGTAATGAAGTCAATATTTGAAAGTGTATATATCTAAGCAAAAGAGAGGAATCATGGGTTGTTCTCAGCTTGTTATTTGGTAGTCAATTTGATAATACAAAGGCATGGAAGTCGGAAGACTTAATACCGATGAACAGACGCAGATCGCTAATGTTACATCTTCCTCGAAGATGAGAAGTCACAGACAAAGCTTAAACAATGGTAGGTATGCAAAAAGTATAACAGCCACAGCTACATTCACAATTAATGGCGATAGGATAGCAATACTGTTACAAGAAACAAGTAACTTTGAGAATCAATGATAATGGATCGTGCACTATAACTATATGGGAATCAAAATTAAATATACCCTTCTCATTAAGCTATTCATTCATCTTAGATTCAAGGATAATATAATAGATAGTACACAGATATCTGGATCCGTCATAGGTTGACGTATCAAGAAGAAACTCCCATGTTTTATAACTTGAAAACAAACTCAACCATTACTATAACAAGAAAATTAGCCCTGCCCACGACATGGAGACATTAATAGATTTATGTTTCTTCTCCATGGCCCTAATGATGTTGAAAATTCCATTCTCTCCTTTGACTTGTTCCATAAATTTTTCTTGCAGTAGGTAACAGAAGATTCATAGCCGATACACTCTAACTGGAGAACCCTACTTTGCTCAGATATTTTCAGGTTATACATTTACCATTATTATCTCCACCAGTTTGATCTCAAGCATGTCTACTTCTCCAGATTTCATCATATCACAGTGAAATGTCAACATAGATTTAAATGGTATCAGAAAAAACAAATTAAGGCTCTCTGATACTTAACTTAGCATACAACTTATAACCCAAAAGGAAATTAACATTGGCGGCTCTCTTTTACCAGAAGAGGAAAGAAGCCATCAAAGTGTCCCAAGTTTTAAGTTCTGTTACCATTGAACAATTCATCTTGAAATTCTGTTTGGAAATTGGAAACCTCTTAACGAATACAGAATATACATTGCTTCATTTTTAGCACAAGACATAGCAAACAAGCCTAATTTTAATCTCTCTTCTGTCGCCCTTACTGTTTTTTGCTAGTATTGCATCTTCTTCTATGAGAGAAGCCTTCATTTCCTTAATTTTTCCAGAATTCCATACGAAGATCAGGAACGGGCAAGTGATTTGAAATATCAAAGAAATTGGGGAAATGCATTGAAAACAAACAGCAAAATAAGCGAGACCATGAGACAAGAGGCGAACAAAAACCTGCAAGAATCTTTGTTCTTGTTCGAGACGCTTGAGTTCCGCAAGAACGCGATGCTTTCCTCTCGAGTCAACGGCGGCTCCGACTCCAATTGAAGCCTCGGGTACGAGCTGTCCGTCCAGAGACGACGCCATTACCATACACCAAAACGGAGCTCCGCAACCCACAGTCTACACTCACTGTCTCTCGGGTCCCATAGAGCAAGCAAACTTGAATTGAACGGTTCAACGGATTTGAAGAGGCAGAATCATTCTGCAACCTACAAATCTCATCCCGCAGACGAGAAAGAAAGAGAGTTCCAACAAATTGATGTCGTAATCAGCAAACAAATCGGGATTTTATTCTTCTTGTTTCTGGTTTCCGTTTTAGCTTCGAAAAATTTCCACGCTTCAACTTCAAAAAAAATTTGTATTTCTTAAAATCTAAAATCAAAGTTATTCTGCATTATAAAACTCTGATTCTCCCTAAAAATAGTCGGGTGATTTTTCAGTGCATCTTAATTACAGGTTGGCTAAGTGATTTTTCATTTTAAATTCGTCAATCTGAACAAATATTGTTAATTAGAAACAAAAAAAAATTTGTTGTTTTTTTCACACGTACTTTTTAAACTCGCCATTTTTTTTGTTGAAAATAAGTTATTTAACAAATTTATTTATATTCAAGTTAGTTGACTGTATTGTGATTAGATGGTGAGAATAAGAATATATAAAATCAGTTTAGTTAATTTATAAAACCAGTTTGTAATTTCTAATTGGTTTATAGGCTGATGTAAAAAAAAAAAAGTGTTTTATAGGCATTTTATATATGGTTCTTTCTTAGTATTGCTTAAATAATATTTTAGAACTTGTTGTAAAATCACATTACGTGATTTACTTAAGCATAGTTTAATATGTATTTGATAATTGTTTTCTTCTTATTTTTTATTTTTAAAAATTAAGTTTATAAATACTATTTTCGTCACTATTTCTTTTTTTTTTTTATCTATTATTTAAAAACGTTTTCAAAATCTAAACTAAAATTTAAAGCTAAACAAATAACAAGAAGTTGTTTTTATTATTTTCAACTTTGGTTGTTTTAAGAAAGGTGAAACATACCAACGAGATTAGAAAACAAACAAAATTTTAAAAATAAAACATAAAAGGATTATCCAACAAAGTATCAATGATGAAGATATTTGTACCTTTGAAAGGTTCTAATTCGAATCTATTTTTCTAATTATTTATCATTATTATTTTTTAATACAACAGGTGGATGTGAGATCCAACTCACAATCTTGATTGAAATATACTAATTACTACTCATCTATACTTGTTTTTACTTTCTAATTGTCTATGATGTAATATTTTAGAAACAATTTAATATATTTGATTTTGTTTCTTAGTTCATCAAAATGTGGAGGTGAAAATTCGAACCCTAATATTTAAGTCAATAATATATAATTTAATAAGTTGGGCTATGAAAAAAATCTAGGAATAAAACTAATTTTAGTTCATTTAAAAATATAATATAATAATATTTGTTTAAAAAAAGAAATAATAATAGTATAATAGAAAAAAGACACTAACATTGCAGAATGGTGAGTTAAAATGGTTGTTATTGTATTATTTAATATGTAATTTAAGTATTCGACCATTCTAAAAAAGAGTTAAATAAAATAAATAAATAATAAAAAAAGGCGCAATCGTTTTCTAATTGGAAATTTGTGTAAAGGAGGAAGTAGCGCCACACAATTGCTGGGCTCACAAGTGCCGGTTTGCGTTAACTCTCTTCCCATTCCACACATTCGAGGCTCTCTCAACTGTCCGCCTCACTCTTCTTTCTGATTTTGCCGTAGCTGTAATCTCCACTCTCCCGTTCGTCGCTCCGTAGACAAATTTTCGACTGCCTCTGCTTAGAAATTCCCTCACGCCTCTGCATGCATGTCGCATCCACCAATTTGCACCTTCAAACGGACAAACTTGTAGGTTTTGGTCGCCGGTTTTCTTGATAAGTTCTCTAATTATCTGACCATTTTAGTCAAATTTCACTGTCTTTGCCTGCTGGGTTGTTTGCTCCTTTAAATTATGGCTTCTGCAATGCTCAATGGAGCTGAAAGCCTCAAGCTCACCAGAGGATTGGCCCCCAAGGGCTTGGGTTTTTCGGGTTCGAATTTTCCCAGATTGGGTATTGTTTCCACCTATAGATGTTCCAAGGCCGCGCCCATGGCGCCTAAGTGCAGTCTTTCTGCTTCCAGGCCAGCTTCTCAGCCTAGGTTCATTCAACACAAGAAGGAGGCATTCTGGTTCTATAGGTTTCTCTCAATCGTGTACGACCACATCATAAACCCTGGGCATTGGACCGAGGACATGAGGGATGAAGCTCTCGAGCCTGCAGATCTCAGCGATAGGAATATGATTGTGGTAGATGTTGGTGGTGGTACTGGTTTTACTACTTTAGGGATAGTCAAGCACGTGGATGCCAAAAATGTGACCATCCTGGACCAATCGCCTCATCAGCTTGCCAAGGCTAAGCAGAAGGAGCCCTTGAAGGATTGCAAAATCATTGAAGGGGATGCTGAGGATCTCCCATTTCGTACTGATTATGCAGATAGATATGTATCTGCTGGAAGGTGTACTGCTGAAACTTTTCTCTTCGTTTTTTGTGCATGTTGTATGTCTAAATGTTGATTTACTAGTTGAAACGGAAGTCTAGGGGATCTTGAACATTGTGAATCACTCTGAAACAGAAACAATTTTAGAATATGTTTCCTAAGAATTTGGCATTCCCATATCAAGACTGAAGAAGTGAGTCATTCCCATTTAATCAATAATTTATTTAGAATTTTTTTATGTGTGTAAAAGAAAGAGATCATATGGTAGCACAATACTACTAAGATAGAAATGTGGCTGCATGGTGGATGGAGATCATTCCAACTCAAATTTTACTAGAAGAATTTGCAATTAGCTTTTTTTTATCTAAAGAGATTGTAGCTGGAGGACAGATAAGTGGCTTTCAGCATAAGGGTTGTGTGTGTTATATGTTTAACTTTTTGTATGTGAGAGATAGACAGCTTTAATGGTAACTCTGATCTTGTTTTATGATTTCTCTGCTCAGTATTGAATACTGGCCAGATCCACAGCGTGGCATCACGGAAGCATATAGGGTCCTGAAACTTGGTGGAAAAGCATGTCTAATTGGTCCGGTGTACCCAACGTTTTGGCTGTCTCGCTTCTTTGCAGATGTGTGGATGCTTTTCCCAAAGGAAGAAGAGTATATTGAGTGGTTCAAAAATGCTGGATTTAAAGATGTCCAATTGAAAAGGATTGGTCCAAAATGGTACCGAGGAGTTCGCCGGCATGGGCTAATCATGGGATGTTCTGTGACTGGAGTGAAGCCTTATTCTGGTGAATCTCCTTTGCAGGTAAGTCTTTTCACCACTTTCAACCTATGCTCGGGATCGTTGTAATGTTTCTCATAAATCATATCTGATTGCCATTATCTTATAACCATTGTCAAGAATGATACAGCACTGGATAAATTGTTATTTTACATGTTCTGTGCCCCTTTTCAGTTTGCATCGTTAAACAATCCCCCGCAAACACACACTCACACACAAAACAACAGCTACAAAAAGTGAGGAATTCTTTTTCTGAGTTTCTGACTACCATTGGTTAAATAAATCTTTGAAAATCGTGTGCTTGTACATCCTTTTGCTGCTTCTTTGCCCTTAATAGTTGCTGCTTCTCCCCCATAATAATGTCAGAGTCTATGTAATATCTTTTTGAAAAAAGGCACTTGAAGAGACCTAGAACGACACAAAAAAAAATTTAACTGTGAGAAATAACTAGTTTCAGAGCAATAATCTGGTGATTCTGGTATAAAATTGCTTATCTATTCTTCTGTTAAGATGTGCAGCATGGGCTAATTAACTTTGTGCTCTGATCGCTGTTATCATAAACTCTCGCAGTAGAGATCTTGATATGCCCCCATATCATTGGATTATTAATCATTCTCAATTCTATAAGTATTGAGTATTGACACTGAATTTCAGACTTCTGGCTGGAGGAGAATTCAGATGGTTAGGATCATTAATTAAATAAAATGTGTTAGAATTTCCTAAGAAAAGCAATTACTCATTTTGAAGATGCATACATCATTCTAAATATATTATTTTAATCTAAAGTCCTAAATTTACCGTCTTATTTTGGTTATTGCTTCTTATAAGTGAGCATGAGATGAGCTCGTACTTGGGTTTTAGCATTCATCGAAGTTTTCAGCATTAAGGTAGACATGTTTGCATATTACATTTTAATTCATCCAAATCTATTCCTATTTACATATTTTAGAACATGTTACATGCTACCCCAAGACTTCTAGGGAACTGCTGTGCCCCTTTGCGAGGATGCATCTGCAAAAACCAGTCCATGGTTATCATATGGATTCAGTTCTTTGAAATCATCAAGTCTCTGAACACGAACACTCATTCTAACCAGAAACAATTATGAACATGAACATCCGCATCAAGACTTTGAAATCATAATATTGAGTGATAATCTGAAGTATGAGATCTTTAACTATGTTTCATTAACATATTCGTCGCAGATGTTCTGTCTTTGTAAGGTTGTTTTTACTTCATGTTCAGCTTTTTGAGCATTAAATGTATACCTTGCAGCTCGGTCCCAAGGAAGAGGATGTGTCGAAACCTGTAAATCCATTTGTGTTCCTGGCTCGCTTCCTTCTGGGAGCCATGGCAGCTACATACTATGTGCTGGTTCCCATATACATGTGGATGAAAGATCAGATTGTTCCAGAAGGGCAACCAATCTGAGTTGGGGAGAAGGGTTCAAGTTGATGTTCTACTCTTGGAGATGCAATTATAGTTTGCTAATCGTAGTACTGTTTGTTTCTTGTTGCTTGTCCTTTCCACTTTGCTAAATGTGTATGATTTTGATTAAAACTTTTGCAGGATTCAGAAAACTTCCATAGAATCAAATCAGTCCTTCCAAATTAAAGCTCCTAACGTCATCTTGAGGTCAGAATGACTTTCAAGAGCCATCCAAACTTATTCAGACTCAAGTAAGTCCAATTTGATATAAAATAATTGCAAGAGAGAGAAATTTGGAATATAAAATACCTTTACAAAAATTAGAGAAGGACAGTGAAGAAGCAATTATAATTTAGTATGGTGAGTCTTGTGTCAAGCCAAGCAACCTAAGGACTACGTTCCTATTGAAATGTGGACTACACATTTAGGGCCACTAGCCCACCTTGCTATATTTGGCTTATTTTTTTTCCTTTGTTAATTTCTTACTCTTTAATTAATTAATTTTTTTATTGTTAAATTTAAACTTTTTATTTTTTTTAATTAAAGTCAATGGTCAGATTCTTGAATTCAACTCTTAACATTATTGCCATCCATCCACTAAGCCCGGACCACTCCTTATTCTACTTATATTTCCACTTCATAACCCCTCTTCCTAATATATGTATTTAAAATTTTCCTTATCTAAACCATTATAGAGAGTCATCAAACAAGTTCTTGTCTTGGACAGGCATCTTCTTGTCGAACCCTTGTAAAAATTGCATCTTCTTATCCACTTGATCTAAAACAGTTGATACAATTTAGTCTTCTTTTGTTCTGATAAAAAAAAATGATACTTCTTTTTGTTTTGTCATTTTTATTTAAAATGTAGAGTATGAAGATTTGAACCTCTGACTGAGAGGGAGTAGATCTCATTTATTACTAGTATCTGTTCATGCAATCATTATTGGACCAAGAGTTTGTTTATAATTTTGTTAATTAATAGGATGTGTTCAACTGTTGAAAATTTTTCGTAGTATAGGCATGCTAAGAGTCCAATCACATGTAGATGTAGTTTTAAAAGTTACTGTCCATGCTCATGAACTAAATAATGTGCACCGAAAGAAGTGTGAATTGAACCGTAATGAAATGAGTCGGAATCGAAATGTTATTCTATTGATGTAATGAAATGAGTCGGAATCGTAATGTTATTCTATTGATGTTGTTTACCACATGGAATGTTATTATCTGGAATCGGAATCATATACTAATTCATAGTGTTTACTTCCATTTAGAATTGTAATTAGACATATGATGATTACCAAAATACCCCATGTATGTGTAACTAATTTAAAATTGCATTAATTAAAAATGATGTTATAAGATTTTTTATATTAAAAATAATAATTGCTTACAATAATTTTTAGATCTATTTTATATTATATTACTTAATAGTAATAAATTGTACCTTTTGTATTTAAGTTGAATTTTTTTTACACTTTATTTGATATTATTATTACATTATTTATTATAATGAATTTTCTTTTACCAATTCAATATAATTTTTTTTAAGAATACAAAATTAAATAATTATAAATTAAAAAATATATATATCTAGAATGTTTAAATGCACCTAGATGAGAAGTGATGTAGGAGACTTCAAATATTTGAAAGTTGACAAACAGATCTGGGTAGAGGAGAAGGTTACAAATGGGAAATAGGAAAAAGGCAAGAAAGCAGTCGGAAAAACTAAGTCTAAAAGAAACATGCAGAAAATCGTGAGAGAATATGAGAGAGAAAATGGTATTAGTTGTCAAATAATCAAAAAATATACTGTAGATCACATGGAACCAGAAATAATAAGACTGTACACCTGCTTTGGGTGTAATGGAATTGGACTTCTTTCGGGGAGTGATTTCCAAATTTGAGGTAGGTCCCACTTTTATTCCTATTTAACTAAACGAGGCCTAAATATATTAACTTTACCTATTTTTCATTAAAAAATCAAATCAGAATAGTTTATGCAAGTTTGGTTGAAGTGATGAGATAATTCAGTGTGTTGGTTTTCCTTTAACAAAAGTTAATTAAGTTTGTCCATCATTTGTTTGAACTTTGGGATGAAATTTCGGGACAACGTGTTTAAAGTCAACGTTTAATTTTAGCACAATATAGAACAGCAACCCTCCAAACGGGCAAAAAATAAAAATAAAAAAATTATATATATATATATATAATAAATAAATAAATAAAAAGTAAGATTTTTCTAATTTGACTTTACGTGATAAGATCTTTATCAATTATTAAATTATACAATGACATATGCATTAATTAGCCGTGAAATTCATATATGTTAACAAATTAATCTCGATTCATTTTTGTACATGAAAGACTAGTTGAAAATTAAGACTTTGAACAACTTTTGTCCTTTCTAGAGAATTGAACTTGAATTGAAAACTTTCACATAGTTAGTTTCAGGGACGTAACACTTTTTTTAAATTTATATATGATTGAATTACAATAAAAACTGTAACTCCGCCTAAAGTAATAATAATAATAATAATAATAAACCAAGTGGGAAAATTACCCTCCTTTCTTTGCTCCTGATTCTTTTCACACCCATGTAAAGAATTCTCTTAAATCATCGTGTTTCCTTCCAATTCTATTTTTTTTTTATATTATATTCTTAATTCATATGAGTTATCTATTAAATCAAATTGGAAATAAACTAATAAAACGTGATTTATTATATTGATTGGAAACGGTCAGGCAAAGACAGCTGCCCGGGGCAATTGTTTCGGTTCCATCTCTATCAGAACATCACGTGTTATTTTGTATTAGAACTCCGCAGTTTCTTTGTAATTATAATCCGATTATATTTGGATGAGATTTGTTGAACTTTGGGATTGTTTAATTAACTTAATAAGTCCGATTTAGTTGACCCCAAAAAGTGGGGTCTGAAACTGGGCATGATCTCAAGTCATCGTTAAGCCATGCGGTTGAAATTTTTCTGGGTCCAACAAAACTTGTCTTTCTAGAAAATTTCTCATTCAAAGGGGCGAAAATTTTCTGGGAAAATTATGGTTTTCTTTTTAGCGCGTTTGACTATTCCAATTTTCATTTATCGACCAACAATTTCTTTTTTCTTTTTGGCTCACCTACTGATTGCAACATGTATATAAGAATAAACTTAGGAATACTATTGCATTACAACTCCTTGGTTTTCTTCTCCTCTTCGTTTTCGTTTCTGTCAATTTTTTATCACAGCGACTGAGCTATCCATGGCAGCTGAAGCTTTGACGGAAGAACAGATTGCTGATTTTCGTGAAGCTTTCTGTTTGATTGACAAAGATGCAGATGGTGCGTTCTTTTTCCCTCTCTTTTCGTTCTTGCCCACCACATGTTTGTTATTTTTCCTCAATGAAACATAAGGCTGGAAATTTGTAGCTTATTCAAAAGGAAGGTTCAATAGAAACATATTTGGGCACGGATGATACAGAAGGCTGAATTTTGTAGCTTATTCAATAGACTTTAAGAAAATTTTTATATTTGAGCATGATGTATTAGGAATTCGTAAAATCAGTTTTGAAAATTTGCTTTTTAGCCTATCCTCTTTTGAGTTTAAAAAGGGAGAAGGATTAAAATTATTGTTAAGTGAAACTTGTGGGGATATTTTAGGATTCATCACCATGGAAGAGCTTGCGGGAGTACTTCAGTCATTGGATGGACATCCCACCAAGAACGAAGTTAGAGATATGATAAGTGAAGTTGATGTCGACGGTAACGGGACGATAGATTTCGATGAGTTTCTGAATGTCATGGCAAGGAAAATGAAGGTAAAAGAGCAAAATAAAGAGTATAATTGAATTGTCATAGTCATTTTACACGTATCTAGTGGCTCAGAAGGGGTTGGGTTTTGCAGGACAATGTTTCTGAGGAGCTAAAAGAAGCCTTCAAAGTGTTTGATAGGGACCAAGATGGTTATATCTCAGCTTTTGAGGTAAAATTTCAATCTCTTTCTTCCATTTCTCCCTGAATTGAAGTCTGGTGACGTATGTACACAAGCACTTCCTCTTCACAACACAAAGATTTTCATTTTTCCAAAAGGGTCTTTCAGAGATTTCTTTCTCCCTGCTGTTATGATTGGTATTATTTGCCTGCCTCTTGAACTCATTTGAAGGCCATTGGTCAAAGAAAAACCATTCAAAACCTGAAAGTCAACAAATACTTTATAGGAACTCCATTATTTTATTGTCTGAAGCTGAAACCCAATGAAGTCCAGTTAGCTTAGTTGATAAGCCAAATCTCTTACCGACAAAGTGCTTTCTATGATTTGAATATGCAGTTGAGAAACGTGATGATAAATTTGGGAGAGAGATTGACAGACGAAGAGGCCGAACAGATGATTCGAGAGGCCGATTTGGATGGCGATGGCAGAGTGAGCTATGAAGAGTTTGCCAGGATAATGACAATCAGTTGATCTCATTTCCAACATGTGATTTACATTAGATGAAACTTCACAATCTTTCATTCATGTTTATTGATACCATCACTGTAAATTAGAATACTAAAAGTTGTTAGATTCTTAATAAAGATTAAAGAGATGTTTCTTTTTCTCTATGTATCTTCATTTGATTTTAAATTACTGATTGTTTTGGTGTAATCCTGGATGTAGCTTCTCATATTTGTTCCTTTTTGAATTCCCATGTATCAATAATATGACCATTTTGTAATACGTGCCCATAGAGAACAGAACAGAGGGTTTCTATTCTAGGATGGCCAATTTGATTTCTGTCCACTTTTTACCAAATTACATTTTACTGAGGTCATGTTGAATCTGAATGCGAATAAATGGAAATGAAAATCGGAATGATAATGTTATTCTTTTGATGTTGTTTACCATAAATTTTATGAAATCGGAATCAAAATTTCTTTAATGTTGTATATTAAAACTGTTTGGAATCCGAATTGGAATTAAAGTTAGATATATAACCATGGCTAGTATACCTCTTTATTCCTTTTTAGTTAATTACAAAGCTATTATTGTGTTGATTTGTTTAAATTAAATAATAATAAATTTTAATTTATGTTTTTATGGGTAATTGTAGTGGTTAGCAAAAATAATTCGTAAATTAAAAAAAAATGTCACCAGCTTTTCAAAATTTCAAATATAGTAAAATATTTGAATTTTTATTTTTGGAATTTTTATTATTCCAACTTTATCCTTATGATATCTTATATACATTCAATATATAATTCTTATTTCCGAGTAAACATGACCTAAAAAAATATTACACTTAGACTAAGATATCTCTAATCTAATATTTTTATCTAAATATATATAGCTTACAAATATACGTATTTAATACGAAAATATATTAGACATTTATGTATGTCTGTTGGAGGTCGTAGATTGGAATTTTAATTCTTCAGAGGTATAAATGACAATAAATGGACCAAGTAATGAGTCAAGGTTGAGTTTATGGACTTCTATGGCATATTGGACTTCTTAGCTTTCTAGCCTACCACAAATTACTTCCATCTTTGGGCTCAACTTCCAATCTGTACATCTTTTTCATTATTATTATTATTTAAATTATTTTTAATATTTTAGTCCAGAATATATGTTTCGTTATTTGTTCAAAAGGAGTAAAACAAACACTTGAAAAATAAAACAAGCAAAATTGATATTTTAAAAATACAAATATTAAAATAAACTAAATTTGAAAAAGTACCTTACTCCTAAAATAAAGGAAATTGTAGTTGGGAATAAAATAGAATAAACTTGAACTTTTACGCCGTAAATTTTTAAGGATGAAAATGGAAGGATTAGCTCAAAATATCAAAATGGGAATTTTTCTTTTTTTGTTTTGTTTTGTTTTGAATAATATCAAAATTGGATTTAAAGTCGAGTAAAATAAAATGTATTTCTCTTCGGAAATTTAACATGGACAGTGGCGATGAGCTTTCTAAACCCTCCGATCATGGAACCCTCGCAACCCCAAAATCCCGACGATTACTCTGCTTCTTCGACAATTATCACCTTCCAGCGCCCTATTCCTCTAATTCGAGGGCCAATTCGAGCCGGTCCATCTGAAAATCCCTCGGCGGGTCCGTACTTGCTTGCATTTAGGGATCCCCAAGCTTGGGAATCTGCGTACAAAATATGCGAGTCGAAGATTATCGAACAATGCGAGGCCGGGGCGAGGATCGGTTGCTCAATAACTGCATCAAACAAATGCAAGCCGCCGTGGTGGGGATTTTTGATACATTCGAGTAAGGGGTTGGATTTGAAGGAGAGGGAGCACTGCGAAGAGCGAGAAATGGAGGCTTGTTTGGCTGCCGCGAAGGAGAAGTGTGTTGGTTTTGCAAAGGAGAAGTGTTCTAAGCCGTTCATGGAAGCTAGAATTGTGGCAAGGGGGAGAAAGGTAACAGAGAAGGAGGCGAAAATGTGGGTTTGTTGGGCATCGGTGGGTAATAAAGATTTTGTTATCCCTTTAGTGGAGATCGGACGGAAGTTTTCTGGGGTTGGGCATGGGGAGACGACTTATAGGGCTGGTGAATTATTTTAGACAGCTACTTCTCTGGAACTGGTCTTGGTGATGGTGGATCAAGTAATGGTTGTGCATCATAGGAGGAACTTTGATGGAAACCTTGGCGTATTGTCGTTTGTGGCTTTATTGAAGCATGTGGCAGTAAACGGATTTTTTTTAAAGGTCTGATCTGATGGAACATGTATTGTGGACGAACAACTGCTGCAATGGTTCAGTCGAAGATGGACAATATGGAGGTATATTTTAATTTGCCTTATTCTTCTATTCATAAATTCGTATACAATTGAGTGAAATGCAAACAAAGTTTCTTGATCTATCACATTGTGGTTTGCCTGTGGTTACATGCTGATGACACTGTTTTCATGATCAAAATGTAGAAATACCAACTATAAATAGCATTTTAGGACTTCCTATCAATCTTAGTATCAAAGGTTATGATGCATAACTGCAACTGTTGTCAAATGGCATAGTTTTGAAAACAATGTAATCGAATCGCTCTCTGTGTTCTTATACAGGCCGGTTCATTGCACTCACTTAATAATAGGAAATATCTGTTCGACGGCCATACATGTACCACAATTTGCGGGTCAGTTTCTTGGTAATTCTATGAACATTTACTTCTAGATGATTAAGTGAATGTGGTGTAGGGAATAATAATTTATAGTTGTTTTAGGTACATAGTGTGCTAGCTTATGTTCAGTCGAATTTATTTTAGTATATTACTTTAGTTAATTTGTAAAATAGTTTCCTTTGAATTTTTTAGTCTTTCCCCCATTTCTTTTTAAGTCTAGAAAAAGCCACTGTACTTAAAAACCAATTGAAGTTGATGAATTAGAAGAGTCACTTCTATGGAATCTTGAGTTCTCTTTGGGATGGATTTCCCATTTCTTTATTGCTTTTGATGTTATCCACCAAATGCACTGCATTCGAGTAGGATCAATGAAGCTTCTGCCCATCAAACTACATGTTAACAAATAAATTGAAAAGATTGAGTTATCTGCCTAATAGCTTGCTTATTAAACTTATAAATCTGGTCGTATTTAACATCTTATCGATGTAGGAATCATGAGTTTGAATACCTACAATGCTATTTTCTTTTGATCTTATATTAATAGTCTAGGTGTTAGATCATGTAATCGGAAACTAATGTTCGAGCCTAATAGCTTGAGCTTTTTAATCTAATGTTGATTCGAATGACATGAGAACCCATCATTCGTGCTGAAATCCTAATAATTAGTGATCACTTTGTGGTTTCACAGAACGACTGGAATGAAGTACATTGAACCTCTGTTTATCTTCATCAATCGTCATCAAAAATAGAATGGCATATAAAACATTCAAATCAAAGCAGCTTCCCAATGTATAATTTGATTCAGACCCTTTGTGGTGGTAGTTGTTAAATCAATGTGAGTATGATGGAAATGGTTTGCTTGAATAACCCAATATTTCTTTTTTGGCACCCAATCCTCCCATAACAGATTTGGTTAATTTGTAGTTTTTATTGCAGATTGGTCTGAATTTAGAGAAATTGAAAATTGTTTCCATGATATTTCTGAAGGTACAACATATCCGTGTGAGAATGATAAGTACCCGAAAGATATTAGTGAAATACTTTAGGCACAATTGTGTGGGAAAATAAATAGATGCTTTGTGATTTAAATATGACGTGACTTATTTTTATTGAAAGACCAAGCTTTAGAACACAAATGGTCCATACAAATAGAAAAGCCCCCACAATGAATGGAGCCCGAAAAAAAAAGCTTGTTACTAGCTACTAGAGTTAGAAAAAGAGGCTCCAATGAGAATGAGGCTCCAATGAGAATAAGGGATAAAGTATAATTGTAGAGTTCCTTTGGAACCAGGAGCATTAAACCTGCATCTTCTCTTAAAGACGCTCAACACCTTGAAAAATTTTCTCATTCCTCTCAAGTCAATTATTCTTTGGAGAGGGAGGGGAGAAAAACTGGGCTTTAACAGCAGGTGAAATTTGACCTCCTCATTAAATATGATGCTCAGTTAGTGTCTGATATATTATCGATACGTTTAAAGAATTTTGGATGAGATCCTGAACATGTGTTCTTGATCTAAGTGGGAGCTAGAAAATCCTCTCTCAGCAACAAAGATGCAATTGAATATGGCTTTCTCACATCAACTGACGTTAAGCCAACCATTCACACGCAACTTTAAAAACCAACTTCAGGGCATTGAATAATTTGCGGTGAAGTTACAAACCATCACCTTTAGTCGGTTGATTGGTTTGCTCAAAGTTAATGAGGAAATTTACGAAAAGCAAAAGGACATGCAAGATAGAAACGAATAAAGGATTAAAGCTTGGGCAGAATTTGTTGCATCATTTGGAAGGCTGTACCATCATAACCACTTTGGATTTGGAACAATCTCCTGATTCTTCTTACTGGTTCTACCACTAGGCATATAGGAGTTTTTTTATTTTGGGTTTCACTCTGAAGTGAAAAGCGGGACCGAGTGCATGATGAAGGGAATTAGTTGATAATTAATCAGGAAATTAAGTTTTCTTTGGGTAATTAATTAGCAGAGGTTTAGACTAATAGTTTTGTAACTAATTAGTACAGGTTTAGTGCAGGTTTAGTGCAGGTTTGTGAAGCTTTAGATTAATAAACCTAGATGTGTGTAATACGTGTTTGGACTGTACAAGAAATGGATAATCAATTTTTTGAGTTATGTAGATATGTGGGTTTATGATTGATAAAAATTAGAACCTAGTGTAAAAGATGGTTCTCATCAACACAAGTTTATGTACCCGTGGGATTAATAAATCCATACCTTGGGATAAAACATCTCGTACCAAACATAAGTTCGACCTCTTAATATCTGAACATGGTTAATGATATAGCTAACCAAGAGAAAAAATAGAGAGATGGGATGAAAAGGTGAAGCCACGTTATTAAAGCGATTAAAAATGGTAGACAAAACCGAGGTGCGCGTAAACTGACCTGGACACTCACGGATATCTTTTAAAATGGTAGACAAGATGGTGGGAGGCCAACCCAACACCAACAACAACAGTCCGCTGTAAACTGTTTCAAAAGTGGAATGTAGGTTTTCTCGAGACCTTCAGACAGACAAGGGCAAAAACAAACATCCAAAACTGTTCATGTTTGGGAATAATGGAATAATATAAAATGCCTCCAACAACATGGAAACAGAATAGTTCACATATATAGTTTCTTTAATGCTTCCTATGAATAAAACAAAAATATCCCATAAAGACAGTATTCCAATCACCATTACACAGGAGCTTTTAAAATGATGTTTAAGATGGAATATTTCAATTACTGAAGAATATACTGTCGAACTGAATTTATGGTTCAGTTCAAATCCGGTTTTAAAAATTCGTATATAACATATTATAGAAAGAAATAGTGAATAAAAGTTTGTAGAAGTTCAAAGCAATAAGCATAGAGAATGGGATCTCAAAAGCACCAAAAACCTCTTTGGATAAGAGAAATTCTGTCACTCAAAACCCTAACAGTAACATTGGTTGGGAGATTCCCAGAGCCACGCATTTATTCTACTCAGAATTCCAAGTGCAGATCTGCTTCCCATGCCATTTTTAGCCAAATCTCAAGATTCTCCATTGCTCTCACCCACCACTCTTTCTACAAACTCTGTATATTATTGCCCCATAACACGACAAAACCAAACCTGCAAGACGAGAGGGAAAGAAAAAAGAGCCTTTTTTCCTATACAGGAAGTTGTTAAAGTGAATTGGAAGAAGCTCAGAAAGAAGTGAAAAGGAGCTTGGTATCCATAAATGATTGATTACTGTGGAAGATTAAAAACAAGGAAGAAGAAATGGGGATGGTGGTTAAAAATAGTAAAAGTGTTGAAGAGGGATTACAAAATGGAACATAATGGGTTTTTATATATGTTTATCGTGATACCATCAAAAGGTGAAGCTACCATATGATCTGATCTTTCCTTGTGTGAAGAGCAAGAAGAAGTTTAGATCATGCTGGCAGCTTCAACTGCTGGTGATGCACGGAAGCCATCACAGAGGAGCCGGGAGAGATGAGGGAGAGAGCTCTGTGTGCTGTGATTTGAAGGGCTATGAGTAGAGGAGGGGATATAAATAGAGAGGGGAAGCATTATTTGTCTCTAGTTTTTGTAGGTGATTATGGTTTGAAAAAAGAAGCCAATGAATATGATGAAACTAAATAATGAACAAAAACCAGATGGCAGACTGGCAGTGGTCCAAACGTAAGACAAAATTGAATATTGTGAAGCCCCACGCCACTCACCAGCAGACAAGCTAGCGAGTAGCTCTAAAATTTACCTGGTGACTTTTTCACTTTATGCAGGTCTCTCTCTCTCTCTCTCATATTGTATTGTAAAATCTTCCATGAAACAGAAAAGATCAAGACAGCAGAACAAGAAGTGAGCAGTCTCTTGGGGACCATGTGCATGGCTTCTAACAAACTTTTGGAGAAAGAAAGACCCAGCATCTTAACCCACCAAACCCAAATCATGCATGTGAGTCTCTCTCTCTCTATCTATCTATCTCTCTCTCTCTCTCTCTCTCTCTCTCTCTCTCTCTCTCTCTCTCTCTCTTGCTTTGCTGGTATCTGTTTTATATATTTCTTGTTGGGTATTTCCTTAAGTTATAGTGACAGTGAGAGTGAGATCTATACTTATCTTTATTGGCAAAGGGGGATGCTATTTGCTGGAGACTTAATAATGGACTCTTAAGACTTAATAATGTCAAAGTGGTCAGTTTGGACTCTTAATAACGTCATATTTTACTCAATCTTCCATAAAAGGAACCCATCTGGTGCAGGTTCAGGTAATATTTATATGAGTCTCCTGGTTTTCCATGTACTGAAAATGATGGATGAAAACAAGACTGATAAATCATTTTTAAGAAGAAGAAAACATAGATCAAGTTGTTTTGCATTTATGGTTGTGACATTGACACATTCTGTTTCTTTCTGATTTGTGTTTGGTTAATTTGGTTGGCTGAGATACAGATGATGGCAACCAGATCTGTTTTCCCCAAATAAATTTCTATTGAAGTTACCTGAAAAAGTGGAAAATGTAAATATTCTGTAGGAAAAGTTCTATCCTTTCTTATCTCGAATTGGGATTTCATAGAATATGATCCAACCACTTCACACTCATTATTTAAAAAAAAAAAGTCTTTAAATTTGAAAATTAGTCTTTTTCTTCCATCTCCTGTCTCTGATTTTGACTGGTTTTGTTCTCATTTGTTTTCCAATTGGATCGTAATAAATTTGACAAATCATTTGAAAATCACAGGATTAGATCACCAAGTACCAAAATCAATTCTTATCATTAAAAATTACAAAAGTAAAGCAAGGAAAACGCTCACTGTCATAAAAGAATTACAGAAGTAAACCAAGTACTCAATGCATTAATGTGATAACCCCTTTTGAAAAAGTCGGCCCATGCTTAACAATAAATTATGATGTTAACTTGGAGAAACAACACATCAAAGAAAAGATTATTTGAATTCATCCCTTAGGGACACATGAACTTTACCTTTTCCATTACATATATATATACTTGGTGTGATTCCAAAATTTTACTACTGATGAATAAGAGTTGTTGGATTCATTGAACATTATTTTTTGTTTATGCATGTGATTGCTACATTTTGTTTGTATCTAGAAAGCTTTATTGGCGATGTTTATGAACAACCTTTCTGCATTAATTGTTAACTTAAATGTCTGTCTTTTTGAGTTTTATTGTGCTCTAATTTCTGTAATGAGATACTTTTTCCCACTAAAACATTGAATTCAAGAATTCCCCGTTAGTATTACAATGATTTAAATACTATTTTGATGATTGTAATTTGAGGCGTTAGTTATTTTAGTCCATAAACTTTCAAAAGTTTTTGTATTTTCAATTTTTGTTTATTTTAGTCCTTGTATTTTTTCAAAATGTCCATTTAGTCCTTGTATTTTGAAAAATTGACCATTTTAATTCCTCGTTCAAGACCGGAGCTATCAACCACTCGATCATCTCTCCGAAAGATAATTTCTATTTGATTTATATTTGATCTCATCGAATAGAATAGTGACATATAAGTTGATACTATTACTATCTATACTATAGAAAAATATCAAGCGTGASTAATAAGTCTATCTACATGTATATATAAATATATATGATCTAGTATCCCCTTTTGTGAAGTAAAAAAAGACTAACCCCAATCCCATGCATGCTAAAGTATTAAACAAGTAAGAAGTAATATAGAATCAACGGATTTATGGTAAAATCCCTCCATGATACATTTTATAAAAATTTTGACTGGGTGGTAAAGAGATCAAAATGGTATATTTTGTTGGTAGATTGGAGAATTAGAAACATGACTATTGCTTTCTAATTGGCTGTTTTTGCATTAATTGTTACTTCATCAATCTTACTAATCAGTGTGTCCGTCGTATTTGCTTCTCCTGATGGTTGGTCGGATAACAAAAATTTTTCATTGTTATCTCATTTCTTTTCATCATAATTTTAGCACGATATTTCACTTACTCAGTTTCTTAAAATGTAATCATAAATTTGTATTAAATAGTTTTCATACTGTATAAAATTTGTATTAAAATATTGCAAATATAGATCATATTGGTCAGTTTTTAAAAATATAGGAATCAAAATATATATTTTGAAAGTTCAATAACTAATCAAAAGTTAGAAAATACATGATCAAAATAATTTGTTTTTCCTCCTCTTTTTGTGTTATAAATTTTGGCAGACTCATTTTTTCTAAAGCACGTCTTTTTCTTTCTTCTTCTTTTTTTTTTATTTTTTTATTTAACTTGCTTTATAAAGTTTCTTTTGATAAATGCTAATATTCATGAGAAATGATCTACTACTATTTTTAGCTCCAACGGTACTCTGAATGTTTGGAAGTTGTGCATAATTCCCTACACCTTTACGAGTATTCATCATAAATGTTGTTGAATTCAAAGATAGATTGATGGAAATATAAGACTTCTACATGCTTTTTTGATCTGATTCTTGCATCTGCTGGTTTCTTCGAAGCCTTCGATATTGACCATACTCCATAAATGATGTAATCAAATAAATGTTGCATTTGAAATTATAACATATGCTTTTTTTTTTAATATAAAATTTGTGTACTAATTAAGGGGCTTCCACTACTGTTCAACGCGTGAAACTGAAAGATCTCAAGAATTTTGAGTTGGGCCACCGATAAATTCTACTAATCGTTCGATTTTTCAACAATTTGACAAAGTGCGCTGTATGTAATTTTGAATTTAGGACCCAGCAACAGTATTGAATAGTCACTGAATTGTCCTCACCACGAAAGCCCATGTCCCATTATTTCAGTTGACGGGATGATTCTTTTCCTTTTTTTTATAATAAATATCTTGAGTGCCCGGACCAATTGGTGTACATCTCTACTAATCTCACGGGACAACTATTTGATCTTATTGTTAAGAACATATATAGGAAATTAATTCTTAGGTCATTGTAGAGTTTGAACCAACGAGATGAGAAATTGAATCATGGTATAATGAGATAGGCCAATTGAGTTAGGTGTATTTCATTTATAAATTTATTTTGTATAACTTAAATTTGAAAATTTGGGTTCTTTTTAATAATTATTTTGTTTTTTGATTTTCCATTTAAAAAAATTAAACCTAGAAACATAACTTGTATGGTAATTTGTTTTGTTGTATAGTTTTAATAAACATTTTGTAAATGTTGGATAAATTTTGAAAACTAGAAAGTAATTTTTTTTATTTTTTAAATTTGGCAGAAAAGTGAAATATACGTTTTTCAAGTGAAGTGAAGATCTTACCAATAAAATTGTATAAAAACAAACTAAATAACATTTACTAAATAACATTTACAATTAATTGATCATTATGCTAAATTGTCAATATAGCTAAATTATCAAATTAAAATTTAGAATGCTAATATAAAATATTAATAACTTAAAATAATTTAATTTATATTATTTATTCTTTAATTAAATTTGATTAGTTACTAAACAATCTTTACATTGACATAAAAGATATATTTCTAAACTAATCACACAGAATAAACATAAACATATATATAATTTATTCTCAAACCTTCAACCAAACAGCCCCGCGGAAAAGTTGTTAATTCCGGTGAAAAATTATTAATACATTTAATTAACATTTACAATGAACTAAACTAGCCTATAAAGAAATATACTATATACACAATTAGACCTTAAATAATAAATAAATAACCTAAATCACATTCTACAAATCTCAATCTCACATAAGAAACTCAATCGTTCTATTTCGGAACATCAAAATCTCATTTCTCACACAAACCCAGGTTTAATGTAAATTCACATAATGATCATTCACATGCAATAACATAATCCCCCTGCAAGATCTCATAATGTTCTTTCTTTTCCTTCTAATACGTAAGACAAAATCACATCAACAAAAATGAAGTAGTGGTATGGTCCAATGAATGGAGTAGTATTTGGTCATGGTTGTAAGGCAGTGAAGGGAATGGGAAAATATCTGGGATTTTTTGAGTGGCATGACAATGAAAACTCAGATGCGACACCGACCATTTAAAAAGCAAGCAAAASGACAGAGCTAAAGAAACAAAGAATTGGACCGACCCACTTAACTACCAACTGCTAAGGAGAATTGAGAATCAACTTGATCAGCTACCTAACACCTCCAATTTGGCTGCTTCTGCTGCCAACTTCGCCCATTTCAGGCCACACAAATTCGTTGTTTATTGCGAGAAACTTTCAAACTTAATGCAGTAGTTCAATTGTGAAAGGGAACGGACCTTAGCTTGATTCAAAATCATGATGTGGCTACCAAAGTCTCTCTCCAACCCTGCAACCTAATAAAGCCAGGAGAAAAAATGAGGAGGAGATTTGATTTGTTATAGGAAAAATGAAAGGCAGAGAGAGAGAGAGAGAGAGGAAAAGACAGTTTCCCTTTTATTACTGTGCTTGCCAAGATTTCCCATCCTGTTAATGCCAAGCAAATCACAAGAGAGTTATGGGTTTTGATGGAATATTATTTGGACATCGTTAAGGATTTGAAGTGGGAAGCATTTTCTTACCCAGAAGAAATGGAGATCTGAAAATTCTTTGAACCAAATTGCAAAAATGGCAATGCAGATGTGTGTTTCCAGCTACCTTACTTTGGGGTTGGGCTTGAACTTAAATAGCCTAAGCGATCGCTCAAGGTTTTCATACCTTCTTCTTATTCTTCTTCTTCTTCTTCGTCTGTTCTTTCACTGAAGAACTCTTCCCAAAATTCCTCATCCAGCTCTGTATCTCCACTCTCTGAAGGCTGCAACTCTTCCTTTACTTCTCTTTCTTTCTTCATTGCCTTGCCTAATCCTTGCATTTCCAAAGCAAGTGCTTCCAGTTCAGATATCTCATATCCACAGATTTCCAGAGGCTCAATCTTGATGGGGTTTGAGATGCCTTCACTGCCTCTGGAGCTGCTGGGTCCTTGATCAATGGGCCACCTCCTCTTCTTTGTTGCAGCCTCTTCTATGTCCCTCTTCTTCTTCTGCTGGACTAGTTGGTGAATGAAGCCCGGGTTCTGAATTGCTCTTGCCATGAATTTCATCATCTGCCGCTGTTTCATTTCTGTCCCTTGCAGCTTTTGCTCCATTGCTTTTAGATAGGTTCTTGTATTCTGCTGCTCATGTCTGAGCTTAACCAGTTCCATCATCACCACTTGCTTGTCCCGTTTCAATTGATTGAGTTCGGCATCCAGTCTGAACCGACCGAGTTCGACACTGGGACCGGCTTCTTGTTCCATAGGCAGAGGCTCAGAGGATGGTGGTTTTCTTCTCCTTATGGTCCTAAGAAGATGTTTTTGGCCTCTCAAGAATCCTTCATTTGCAAACTCCCATCTCTCTGGATTTATCTTCCTAAAACCCTGAATGGATCATAATCCATATTCAGAAATCCAAACCCAAACTTCAAGGACTCTAAAGAACCAAAGTGCCAATGAAGAACTGAGAAAAGAAAACTAGAGAAACTACAAACAGTTCAGTAAATAAATAAACAACTTGGAAACAGACCATCTCTTGTGATGTTAAGTACAGAGACTTTGGAGAACTAAAATCAATCTTTCCATAATTTACTCAATCAGGGAGATGCAATAGTATTCTAGACAATTCCAAACTTACATAAGTGTTGAGCTGTCGAATGAAGCTTGAGAAGTTGTTGTGATTGAAGAATCGAGGCAGCAAATTTGCAGAGAAGGCCTTAGGATCCCATACGATGAAGCTGACGCCTTCCCTGCCCCAAGAGATAACGTGATCGGTACTTGGATCATCCACAATCTCAAATGTCTTGATCAGAAATGGCGGTGGACCAACTTCGTATAGACCCTCCATCGGTTCCGGCGTAGGCGTCGCCGATGAGCCATAACCGCCGCCTGCCTCCGGCGAGCTCGGCCCCCAGTTCTCCTCCTTTACTGGGTATTGAGGATTCATAGAAACAGCTGCCAAACAAACGAATAAGAAGAATAATGGAGTCAATTGAATAATCTGTTGGAACAAGAAACCCCCCTAAAAAAATTGCCCAAAATTGTAAAATGGATTACAGTTCAAGTGAGAGGAGAGGGATGGAGTTGGCAGGTGAAGCTATGAAAATGGAGACGCTGATCAGAGGCAATAACTAAAATGGCAGCGAAATTCGAAAGAATTCAGTAGAGAATGACCTGTTATGGCGAGGAAATGACAGAAGCCCAAAGTGATGATTGCGAGAGGACAAACGCGGTTTCAATTCTTCGTAAGAACGTCTCTTTTTCCCATCGCACGTATTAAACATAAACCCCAGAAGGAAAAAAAAAAAATCTACTGTTGTTTCTTTCAAACTTTTGGAGCCCATCTCAAAATTAAACCCATTGAAAAGAAAATAGTTAAACCAAACGCAAAGAGTGATATTATTTTGTTTAATTTGGAAAATGCAGTTGGCCATTCTTTCACTTTCTGTGAGCTCTTCAAATCCCAACTGCAGGTCTGCAACTGGGGTCTGATTTTGTACGGATGAAAAATGAAGTTTGTCTTGTAGTGATTGAAACTGGATGGCGTTAGTTAAAATATAAAATATTAATAGACAGGTTCAAGAGAAAAGTCTAGGCCCGGGCCATCCTTTCGGAATTTATTCTTTCATTTTTGTGCCCCACTTTCTATATATAACAAGTTCTGCAAGAAACTTCTGGAACACTTCTTTATGGCCATGGACAAATATTATTTTTCTTTTAAATTTTTTACCTGCCTATTTGGACATTTCCATTTGATACTTTGGGACACCAACTCATGATTTCTCGTTTAGTTCGTGCTGAAAGGTTGTATCTTATTTACCCTGGTATATCAATAATAGACTATTTTTACATTTGTCATAAACGCTATAAGTGATATACCATTTTCATAGACGGGTTTCATTGATCGGTTTGTACAATGTGAAAACTGATGCCTCTTTCCTCTGGCCTTCTATGGCTGTCGGTTTAGGGATAACTATTTAGGATTCTGAAGGTTGTGTCCTTTTCACTTCAACAAAATTCATTCCCTATTTGACACGATTGATGTGGCTGAAGCGTTGGTTCTTCGTGAAGATTTGTCTAGGACGGCAAATTTAGGTTTTTGGCCGAGATTGACTCGCTTCACTGTTTCTCGTTGTTGACATCCTTTTAGAAGTGGGTTTTTCACTTTCAGACCTTCGTTCGGGCGGCGCCTCTTCTTCTGCTGTGCAATTTAGCTGTACTCATCGTGAAGGAAATATGGTGGCCCACCAACTTGCTTGCTTAGCCTCATCTAGACGGTTGGATTGCTCTTGGGGCGAAGATGAGCTGTCTAAAAAGAAGCGATATACCATTTTCCTAATTAGCAATATATTGTTTTCATTTTATTGATATGATGTATCAGTGATATATTACGTAGTAAATTAGCATGCAAGCAAAATAATGATAGAAAATAAAAGATGCATAATAATTTATATACGATTTTAAATACTATTGATGGACCATATATGAAATAATCATGCAAACTTAATACTTAAGTAAAACAAAAAGTTACATAATCGTTGTTATAGAGTTTTCAATTTTTATTGAATTGATGTGTGGTATATTAGTGATAGGCTGAATATAAACAAGCGTGCCAATGTACTAAAAAAACCGGTATAATGTACTGTCAATGAATCAAATAGTAAATAAACGTGAACAAGATTTATTGGGTAGAAAACTAAAGTTATATAATCACTTGTACACTATTTTAATTTTTCTATTGTATGGTATAATAGACCAAATATTAAACAAGTGTACAAAAATAATATTGATAGATAAATCAAAGTTACATAACCATTAATATATATTTTTCATTCTATTGATACAAAATAATAATGATAGACTTATATTGCTGGTAGGATATCAATTAGTGATAGACGCTGCAATGTTGAAATATGTTGAATTTTTTCGATATCCATACACTTTGTAGAAACTATGCTGGAAACTTGTCATACGCAAAAAAAACATAACAATAAATCTACCTAACTAATAAACTTTAATAATTTGTTAACAAATATATTTCAAAAGAAAAATTTGTTAAAATATAGAACAGAATTTTTATTTATCATAAAACACAATAAGTTGTTTATTATGACAGTATTTATTAAACAAATTTACTAATATTTTAGTACCATTAATTTATCATATCAAATTTAATAATTATTAAACGACATGTTTTTTTTTTTTGAATTCAAAACAAAGGTAGGAGATTGTAAATTTCACTTGTTCTAAAAGTAACAAGTACCTGTGATAAATAATACATTTAAATAAAAAAGGTAAAAAAAGTGTGTTAAGCTAAACTATTAATTATTGTAGTAATAATTAGCTGGAATATAGTTTAAGTAGATAAAATATTTATAGTAAAAAAAAAAGTAGAAAAAATATTTATGGTCATCCGGACAAATAATTATTGAACTAAAAAAATTAAAATCATAATCATGGAGTGGGAAATAAATAGTAAAAAAGAAAACAAAAAATAATTTTAATAAAATGTCTGAAACGGTCATCAAAGGAAAAAAATATAAAAAGGAAAAAGAAAAGAAATGGGAATCACCGCCATTGACACAGTCCAAGCAATCCCGCGCTCTCATGTACTTCTCATCTGTTTCTCCCGCTTCCACCCTTGCAATTTCTTTTGATTTTCAGTCTCATGAGTAACAATGGCTCTCCAGAAGATCGAAGTAACCAAATTTTATATGATTATTGTATGGTTTCTGGCGTACGCAAGAACGTACTCCTTTGCGGAATCGTCGACGTGCTTGATGGTGTACAAGGAAGGTGGCGCTACGGCAGTATTTCAATCCCCGAAATGTCCTCTCTGGAAGCTCTCCGACTACACTTTTCAATCACCCAGCGCCTCTCATTGTCAAATTGCAATGCATCAGGGTCGAAGAAAGTATCAGGAGGATCGCACTCTCTGTGCTCTCGATGTTCGAATTCCCTTCCCAGGTACGCCGTATCTTCCCTGTCCGATCGTGAATATTCATTCAGATTTATAAATATGCATGTTCCTCATGGAACTAGGAGCTCTGTTGCATGCAATATATTTAAGATTCGAGAAACCTTGAAATTAGGAGCTTTGTGTAAGTCCTTCACTTAGCCTATTTGTTAAAGGGTGTGTGTGTGTGTGTGTGTGTGTTTTTTTTTTTTTTTTTTTTCAAAATTTTATTTGGGGAAGCCAGTGAACTTAGGCATTAAGTCTTGTGAGGTTATTTCCATAGAAACGTCACTCGCTCTTTGCATATGTCTTAATTTTAATTTTTTTTTTCCAGATTACGTGTTAAATATTTTCCAAATGATAATTAAATTGGTGGTTAAATGTAAACTTCTGCTCCTTTATTAGAATGACTAGCAGAAATCAGGTCTTTAGTGTAAAGCATCTTATGTAATGGAAAGTTTCTCTCCTGTTTCAACTTTCCAGTCAGAAAAACGCAATTGGTTTTTTCTTCTATTTTGGAATCTGATATCTTTAATATTTGTAGGTAAATCAGGTCTCACGGAGATCCCTGTCGGAGTAATAGCGGTTTTCGATGGTCACAATGGTGCTGAAGCTAGTGAGATGGCTTCAAAGATTTTGTTAGAGTATTTTGTCGTGCATACTTATTTTCTTCTTGATGCCACTTATTCTGGAATTTTCAAGAGATCCGTTAAGACGTTTTCGAATGAGAGGGATCATGGTACCATCTTTAATCAGCTTAGTTGGAATGAGGAAATTAGCAAGCGTGGTCTGGAACTTGGAAGGTGCTTCCGCTCATAGCTTTATATGGTTTTTATCTATCATATTTTGGTAACTATGGTGTTAAAAGGATTATTGTTCTTGTTTTTGGTGTTGTTATTATTATTATTTCCGTGTTTTGTTTGGATAAGAGACAAAAGTTTACATTTGTGAAAAGTTAATTACCTAAAGGTTTAGCCAAAAAGAACCAATTAGCACCCTTAAGTTTTCTCTAGTCCACAAATCTTCGTTTTAATTTCCTTTTGAGAAGATCCCAGCGTTGCATTCAAGTCACAATTCCCAAACCAAAGCTTTCACCCCGTTCAATTCCATAGAATTCTGCTCTCTTTTGCAAGTCTTTGGCTGTAGTAGAGGGCCGTCTCCTTTTACTTTGTTATTATTATCTGAACATAAATTAAACAACCGGAAGAAAGCAGTTCAACAATATAGATTGTACGGGCAAAGGAAGAATAAGTGACCTTGGTATTCTTCACTTTGGTAGGGAAGTGCACACCAATTTGGTACCATAATCATATTGGGCCGTTTTCACTGTATGATTTCTCGTGTGAATGCCTCCAAGAAGAAGAGTCCATACAAGAACTTGGTTTTATTTGGTAGCCTTTTTTCCAGGCTGCTTTCATCACTTTGAGAGGTAATTCCTCACTGGTTTCCAGCAAAGAACTATAAAAAAATTGATGGAGAAATTACTATAGTATTTATGGGGCCACACCTTTTACTTAGGACATCTGCCTCATGCTATTTAGAGTTACCGTACGACTTCATCATACTCCCTGCCACTAGCCCACACCTCAGAGGCAAATTACAACTCTGACCGTTGCCATCCCAGCAGTTTGGATCAGGCAATTCTTCGATAAAGTCACTTGGTAAAGACCTGGAATAGCTCTAAAACAGGAGCTTTTGCCCACCACCCATTCTCCTAGATGCAAATTGAGGTACTCGTGTTAGTGAAGTGAGCTAACATGTGATATTCTTCCATGGGCTCCTTTTGAAAACATTCCTCTTTATACTTGGAAACCCACAAAGATTGGTGATGATCCCATGGATACTCTTGATCACCAAATGCCAAAGAGTATTGTGTTCAACTTGGAATCTCCATAACTATTTTGTTACCAGAGGCTAGTTCCTTATTCTGAAATTTCTAATTTTCTTTTGGAGCTCTCGCAACCTTGCAATGTATTTTGAAGATTGTCAAAAATAGGGAGGATTGTAGCTAAACACATATTGCGCTAATGCTGGTCTACCCCTTTTGGACACAATTTATATATTTATTTTCCACTTCATTTTTTGGGCATTCGTTCTTCCCTAATATGCACAAGAAGTTTTTCTTCAAGTCTTGGAATAACTGCTAGTGATGGTCATTTTTGCAAATGTATGGATTGGTCTAAGTATTCAGTGATGTATAGAGTATCATCCCTACAGGGTTGGTTACTTTACTAATATTTACCAAATGAGCTAGGCCTAGATCTAACTCTTCAAACCAACCATTTTTAGCTTTTAGGATAATTATTTATTCGCATAAAAATGAATAAAAACACAAATTAAGGTCACAGTTACTTTTGCTGGCTTGGATTTGAGATTGTTTAGGTTTTTTAGTGGCTAGTCCGAGAAATAGTAGTTGAGGGGTCTTTTCTTTTACCTTGCTATGACTGACCAACCTTGAATCAAACAAGTGAAAGAAAGCAGTGAACTATAAAGATTAAACGGGCAAAGGAAGATATGTGGTCTTGGTATACTTCACTTTGGAGGCAAGTGCGCACCAATTTGGTATGAATAAAGTAGCTCATACTTGAAGGAGAACTTCCAAATTCATATGTTTTCAAGCTTTTGTTAAGCCTTTTGTTAGTCAGCTTTTGCTAGTGATGCTTTGGGGTGGTCTTAAATTCTATTTGATGGACTTTTGATTCATGTATATAGCTGTTTTGAGGTTATTCTTCCCATGTAAGTTGTTGGTACATGTGTAATTTTTCATTTCATCAATGAAAAGTCGTTTCCTTTTAGGAAAAAAATGTCTCAGAAAGAAATGATAGAGATTTTTGCAAGTGTATGGATCCCTCCAAGTAATAAGTAGTATTGTCTCCATATGAATTGCTATTTTACTAATAATTATGAAATGAGATAGACCAAGATCTATTTGATTAATCTTTTGTGCAGTGGTGTTGACTTCTATTTGGTTGTGGCTAAGCCATTTTTAGCTTTGAGGCTTACGTATATATGTGTGTGTATGTACGTACGTGTGTTTTGTGGATGGTGAAGATTTTCAACAAAAGAGTAGTGGAAATTAACTTAAAGTTGTGTTATAAATCTCAGTATGAGAATCTTCTATCCGTTTGTGTTCAAAGTTCTATCCTTTTCCAGGCTTAAATACTTACTTCCAGCAGATCTTGATAATGATTTCCATTTGGAAATTTTGAAAGAAGCACTGTTGAGAGCTATACAAGATATTGATAAAACATTTTCCAAGGTAGGTTGTATTTGATGTCTCTTTTATTCGTGTAAGAGTTGTTGCTTTGGATGCTGATGTGTTCTATTGAACCATGAAGGAAGCACATAAATATAATCTCGTTTCGGGTTCTACTGCTACTGTTATATTATTAGCAGATGCGCAAATTTTGGTTGCAAATATTGGTGATTCAAAGGCTTTCTTGTGCTCTGAAAAATTTCAGTCACCCACAGAGGCTAAAGGTCAGCAGGAATTATCTTCAAATAAGATTGCATTTAATTTTTCCTTCCTTGTGTGGGCTGATCTTATCAGATTGAACCATTAAACTAAATCAAACCACCCTTTACATGATCGGGTTTCTATCCTTTATTATTATTCTTCTTACTTTTCTTAAATCAACTAAATCTGTTTTACATTTTGTAAAAGCTAATGATTTGGTTTTGTTTAGTTCATGGTTATGCCTGTTCCTTCTTTTTAACATAAACTATTTTGGTTCCCTTCCCGAATTATGTATGTCTTTTTGGTTTTCAGAACCACATATACGAACCTTGAGTGTGTGGTTTCTTTGACTCTTTTTGTCACTGTGATAGCTGAGTGTTTTCAGCCTGCAATTATTATGTAATATCTTTTATTGTAATATTTTTTATGGCCATCATATTTTAAATTTGATCTCTTCTTTATCTTAACAATTTTCTTTCTCATGTCAACAAAATCATGGTAAAAGTTTTATTTATTTATATTTTTAATTGTATTTGTTGAACTGCAGCCACATTCTTAAGGTTATACAAGCAAAAAAGATATAGTGGTGCCCCACGTGCAAGGGGCCATGGCAATTCTAGACCGGATTCCTATGATGGGCTGGCACATTTTTATGTCAAAGAATTGACAAGAGATCATCATCCAGATAGAGAGGACGAAAGATCTAGGGTGGAGATTGCTGGGGGTCACGTTGTTGATTGGGGTGGTGTACCTCGAGTAAATGGTCAGTTGGCTATAACCAGAGCAATTGGTGACGTGCCTTTTAAAAGGTGCAGTCCACAAACTTAACAATTATCTTGTTTTGAGAAAATGATTCACTTTAGTTCAACATAGATCTTGTACTTTATGCAAGCTGATTTAAGAATCTTGGCAATGAATTATTAATAGGCATTGGGAATTTATAATAATCAACACTGTTACCAAGTAATTTATTAATTTATTTGTTTCAATTATCAGCTATGGGGTTATATCTGCACCAGAAGTGACTGACTGGCAACCTTTGACTACTAACGATAGCTATTTGGTGGCTTCATCTGATGGCATTTTTGAGAAACTGAGCTCACAAGACGTATGTGACTTGATGTGGGAAATACACAATGATGGTATGTCAAGTTCTGAACATTATCCTTCATGCTCATACTCATTGGCGGATTGCATTGTTAGCACTGCCTTTGAAAGGGGCAGTATGGATAACATGGCTGCTATTGTGGTTCCTTTAAGACCTGCTAGTTCTTCTCAGAGATATTTGGAGGCAAGCTTTGTTGCAAAGAGAGACTTGAGTTTTCCCATATCTGGATTAGAAAAGCTTACTAGAGAGCACTCAGGTAATCTTTTGGGCTGTTAAATTATAATGTGTATATGGATAAGATTTAAAGAGAGAAGGCTTGGGAGTCCAATTTTCATCACTTTGAGACTATTAAAGAGAGAAGTTTTTGTTGCTTTGGCTCATTGACTTTCTGAGTTCTTCTTCACAGAGATACTATACCTATCCTTGGTGCTTTTGTTCTTCAATATTTTATTTATTTGGAGATCTATAATTTATTTGTTTAGTTGTTTGTTCTTCTTTGAACTACCAAGGGAGTTTGTATCCTTAAATATTTTTCTTTTGTAGTTAAAAAAGAAAAAAATAATATGGGTATTATTTAGTTTAGAACTCCTCTTCATCTGAGTGCTGAATTTGGACTTTGGCAAGACAATTATGTTTTATCTTGAGAAATCGAAAACTTTTTAGACATCAAATACCCAACTAGGATGAGAAAAATTAATACCTCAATGTAGGATTCTGATCATTTGGATATTTTTCAAGATGACCCTGTTTTGTTGGGGTTCTGAACAAATGAAATGCTTGCAAGGACTGAAACACACGCAGTATAAAATATTCTTTTAGACTTTTGAAAACGTCTGAGCATTTTCTTAGGATTTAAGTATTAACCTACAGAATATAAAGTACTCTTGTTGAAAAGTTCTACTTGTTGCATGTCAGAAAGAAGTAACGACAGAATTTCATTTTAATTTTAGAATCAAAATATCTTTTTAAAATAAAATTTATCAAGTTGGATATTTTTTTCAAGGTTTTTACTTTAGGTGTTTACCTGGAAGTTAACAATTTAGTTATCTAGGTGATTGCTTATATGCTCAAATTCATTTTTATTTTATTGTGCTGATCAGCCAATGGCGTGTCTTCAAATGCTGTCCAATTGGAGCATTCTCATCCAGTTATGTCCAAGTTCAAGAGATTATTAGTAAGGCTATAGAAAAAAGATTATTTATTTTGTCTTCCTTTCTTAAGGTTATTTAATTTCAATCACCCTCTTTAAAATTAATGCAACAAATTTTCTGTTGTTTCATGGAAATTCTTGAGTTCCTTGTTCATTGTAGACCATTGATGTTCATTATATTTTTGCATCTTTTCTCCTTTACATGGCTATTGCTGTTTGAAAGATGGAAGAAGGAAGAATTTTGATGGGAAACACACACATACATATATATTGCATTTGAAATAATTCATTCTTTTAAATGCTTGGAGTAGTATTTTGGAGCAATTTCTTGCTTTTTCCACATTTACCATGGACGTCAAGTTCACGGTTGACAATTTAGTCCTTATGACCATATCATTTCTTCTTGCCAGTATATTTGCAAAAAGTTCTTTTTGGTTGAATAGTCGAGTTGCCTTTACGTGCAAGCAATTCTTTATTCTTGACCTGTTTATTTATCAAATTGACAAAATTAATTTTTCAGGAGGCACTGGACTTTCCTGTTGTCTCTCTCCTTTATTTTTCTGCAGTATCTATATCTCTGCACTGAAAAGACTTCTGCCTTTTATTTTGTCAAGGTTGTTGTATGCGTTGTTAGTTGGTCCCAGTGTTACTAAAATCTGGTTTATGGTTGGTCACATGGTCTAGGTTGAAGGAAGACACAGTAATGTGGGATGTTTTTATCTGTCTGAGAATCTGGATGAATACAAGGATTACGGGTTGAAAACTCAAAATGAAGAAGAATATTTGTGTGATCTACCCCACACTCTACCAGAATCCATCAACCAGCCCTATGGTAAGTAAAGAGTTTAGTTTTCTTGGTGGTGTTTACGACTGACCAGAGGATTCCATGAGTTAGCACGTTCTATCCAATTTAGCATTATTTAGTTGAACCGTGTATACATTTATGAACTCTTTTTCTTTCTTCGAATCTAGTGCTAATATATCCTACATTTTCTCATCTAATATTATTGGTCAGCTACATATTTTAGCTAAGATGTATGAGCACCCTATAGGAGAGAATAGTTTGTGATCATGATGATTATGAAAATGGCACAAGATGGCTGTCTGTCTTCGTTTCTCTTCCCTTTATCTTCCTCCCTGCCTAACTGATGCAGTCTTGCACACAAAGTTTGATAATATTTCAATGAATATTTCAACGAATGCTTTATTAATGAAGCTGAAACCTATTTATAGAACACTTGACAACAGTAACTAGTGCAGTAAACTGAAAAGCTAACTAAACATAAGCTAAAACTAAGGGTAATTACATGGTAAAAGCTATTTAACAGCTACTGACTACATCACTAACTTTGTTCATCTCATGATGGCTGGTCGGTCTAATGATTAATGAAAATTCCGCATGATATTTTGGTTGGAAAGGAATTGGCAAAATTCCTAGGAACTTATGGGTGCTTGTGATACTTTCTTCTCGCTTGTGGGTTTTTTTTTTTTCCATCCAGTCATTCTAAGTTTTCATTCTATACTGCATTATTCTTCATTTTCCTTCTTGCTTGTTTTTTTCCTTATGTCCACGCACTCTTAAGTTTTCTCCATTCTGTACTGTAGTTCTCTCCACTCTTCTTTTTCTTCTTCTATCCAGGAACTCTTAAGTTATCTCCAATCTATACTGTAGGTGGATCTTTAAATGTGTACAATGATCAAAACTTGTGCTTTCATCTTGGAACGACTGAAGCTAAAGATCAGTGCTTTAATCCTGAAGGCTTTGCTAGTTTTCTTGGTTTTCTTGAATCAATTCCTTTTCATGATCCTGGTCCAGATTATCAACTATTTGAGCATCCACCGCCTGTCTTGAGGTGCATAAATTTTCTCTACTGTTGTAATCAATTTGGATTGTGTCCCTTTTTCAATTGCCTTTTCTGATTAACTGGGAGTAGATGCCTTTATCTCCTTGTCTTTTAATTTTAATTATATATATATAGATAGATAGATTTGTATATAGACACGTATGTACATATATGTAATGTATATAGACATGTATATACATATGTCGATATATACATGTATCTACATATGTATATATAGATATAGATGTATATATACATATGTATATACATGTATATACATACATATATAGGTATGTATATGTACATGTATATGTGTATATGTATATGTAATGCCTGACAATATAATTTTTGATAGATAGTCGTAGGAGAGGGAAGGGGATACGTGAGTGATTTTTCAGATTTGTTATTGTTATTAAGGTGCAGGGACCTTTGGTGGGACGCAGAACATATGAGTTAGTTTTGGGTATGTTTGATTTAGGGGCAAAAGATAGGATCTGGGGGTATCTTTGTTTGAATTATTTTTGTACTTGCTTTCAGAGTTAGGTAAGGAGAGGCCGGGAGTGCTCGAAACACCCTTGACAATTTGACAATTAGCTTGGTGCATAAATAAACTGGATCCTATCAATTTTACTCTGTAATTTTTCACTTATAAACACAAGTTTCATTTGAGTATCTGGATACTGTGTACTGCATTTATGCTTGTTAGGCTTACATTGGAAATTGTTGCTGGGATCACATTTTCCTGAGGGAACATATATATATATAGATATATATTATAACTGGAAACAACTGGAAAGCTCCGGAAAGCTCCTTTCCTTTTAAATGAATTGGAGTATATTTTTCCTGAGGGAACAACTGGAAAGCTCTCATCGTATAGTTTCTTTTGGGAGAGGGTGACCTCCGCTCTCTGCCCTTGGGTTGTTGGCTCCTTTTGTGTTTAATACACTTTCGTTTCTTATCAATATATATATATATATATACACACATATACATACATATATATTATAAAATCTTATTTCTTGTAAATATTTTGTATAGTACAATCAATATACTCCCCCTTCTGGTCTTTAGGTATGTCTTAAAGAAAAGGTTCGGTCGTGGTTCCTATGGCGAAGTATGGCTGGCTTTTCATGGGAACTGCCAGGAAGGCTTTAGTGGAGTTGGAGAGAATATTAATGTTTCATGCAACTCACCTTTTGGTGACACCAACGTTGGAAACTGTAGCTGCTCTTCAAATAGTTCTCAAGCTTACTTTCTGGAGGATAACTTGTTCATCATGAAACGTGTAATGGTAATTATTTCAAATGGTGTAGATTTCACTTATTCATTTATATCCCATGACAGTTTTTTCCATCCCACTTTTTCTCTAAGACGTGACTAATGGTGCGTTCTACTTCAATCAAATGCTATCTGCATCATTTTGACAATTTGAGACTGCCTGGGTTGGTCTTAGGTTAAATTCAGATAAAAGTAAGTTTTTAAAAGAATTCTGAAATCAAAAGTATCTTCTGTGATCAATGAAGAGTTGAAGACTATATCATTGAAGTTTAACGGTAATATTCAGTGTTATTCATAGTAGAAAAGTTGTCCATCAATAGAAGGATATTACAAAATTTCTCTCTTGGATGATGAGTTAATGTTCATTGACAGGTAGAAAGAGGTGCTGGAGTCTATTTGAGTGGCTTACGGGAGAAATATTTTGGTGAATTATTTTTTAATGCAACTATACGCCTTGGAGATGTGTTATCAACTGGAATATCGAACTTTGTCTTTGAAGAGCCACTGTGGGGGTCAAAAGACTTATTGGCAAAAGATGAATCACTGAGTTATGAAGTAGGGAAAATCAGGCATTCTAAAAATATTTTTCTGGATCAGTTTAGACCAAAGACAGTTATCTATGAAGAAGGTTTAAATCATATTGCGAGATATGTAGAATCCTTTGAATCTAGGTCTAATGAAATATGGCTTGTATTTCATTATGAAGGCATGTCCCTCTCAAAGCTTGTATATTCTATCCAAGATTCTGATGAAGAAACGGTTGAGCCAAAAAAACACGTTCAAATTTTACAACCTTCTAAGTGGTGGCACTGGTTGAAAACAACAGAAGCAGGACAAGAGGAAATGAAACATTTGATACGCCAGTTGGTATGTTTCTGACAATTAGTAGGTTGTTTTTACATATCTTTTTTCATCTAAAAAATTTTGTTCTTCTCTCAAATATTTTAGTAGCATTATTTTTTATTTTCTTTTATTTTAATCCTCCCAAAGAATTGGGGAGACCTCGAGCTCTTGAACAACGACCCTTCTAATTCTTTCACTCTGGATCTCCTGAAGAGGAATCTGTTCTTTTTCTAAAACACTTGCACAAAGAACTGAGGAGGGGTCTTTTTGGCTTAGTGCTAAGAGACATAATTGAACCCTCATGATCAGGTGATTTATCTTGTTCATGATTTATCTTGAGAGTGAACAAGTTGTCTAAAGAATTAACTAGTGAATCCTGGGCCTGGGGCGTTATAAAATGGTATCAGAGTGGAACCTCTCCCAGTACGATGTGGTTCGGGGGCGAACCAAGGTGGAAGTTGGTGGGCATGTGATGTTCGAGTAGAGAGGAGGTGTACATGAATGAACCGATATCACATTCGAATGAGAGAGATTTTGAGATCATGAAAGAATGGTCAAGAAGGGCTTAAAAGAATTGATAGTCACTACATATACTAACAAGGTACACCTTCCTTTTCGGTAACTCAATCGTAAGAACTCCAAAGTTAAGCATACTTGACTTGGAGCAATCTTCGACTGGATGACCTCCTAGTTGCTTTACTAGGAAGCATGTGAGTGAGGACAAAGCATATTGAAAGGACTCGTGTTGGTCTGTAGAGATAGTCTACTCTCTCTAAGTAGCTCAGAACTAGATGGTGGCGCAGTCGGGTCACAGGGGATGCAAGTGGAATGCCGGGGCGATTAGGGCCAAAATTTGGAATCTGAATCATGGGCCTGGGGCATTACAGAATAAAGAACAAGTGAGCTGTATTTTCATTATGAATTTTATAAAAAAAACATATATATCCTGAAGGAGGGCCTGCTTTAGCTTTCTAGCCTGATTCTTACCTTATTATTCATACTGAACCGCTAGGCTTATAGCATCCAAAAAAAAAATCTCCTTAGGATTTTTGTCCTTCCGGAGAACTTTAAAAAGAACTTGTGAACATATAGGATTTTTTAAGAACAGGGAGATCTGCAAGAGAATAACACTAAGTGCTCAAAGTTCAGCCATCCTCATTTTCATCGAGGGAAAAGTTCTCCAGCAAGGATTCATAGTTACCCTCTCTTTGATTTCTTCCTCTTCCAAATTAAAACAGTAGCAGCTGCTAGTGGAGGGATTCCAGCACTGTTTTACAGAAGGTTTTTAGTCCTGCTAGAGGGTAAAGCTTTGGAAAAATATATGAGAGAGAAGGGATGCTGCCTGATCTGCACTCTAGAGCTGGAGTAATTAGTGAGGTTTGCTAAAGTCTGGAAACATGAACGTGGGCTACGGCTGCTAGAATTTCATAGTGCTCAGTTTCTACCAATATTGTCCGAAGTAATTTGAATCATTTATAGTACCCACATTTGTTATACCTAAACCACCAGGTTCTCAGGGAAGGGATGCTGCCTTCCTCTTAATGTGACGACTTCATTTTTTCTGCCTCTTCCTGTGAAATATTTGTCAAAGCACCGTTAACATCTTTAGTCACTGCTACAGGAACTATTAGAAATGATAGGTAATGTAAGTTGGTTGATTTGCAAGGACAACCGGAGCTAAAGTGAGCCTTCCACGTTCAGAAGTGAAGAAAATCCCAATAATTTATTTTTTTTGGATAAGAAAATCCCAATAATTTAGGAACACTTATTTGTGTAACATTGGTATATTTTTTTTCCTGGACTTGTTTGTCCGCTGTTAGCTCGTTTTAGTTTTCTCCCTGTATTTTTAGCAGAAGAAGGAATATATCTGAGATGTCTACTTGATTTTGCTCAGTTGATGGCACTCAAGTCTTGTCATGACCGCAATATCACTCACAGGGATATTAAACCTGGTAAGGGAAACTGGCTATTGTACCAACTGTTTAAAGCAACATTGTTACGTTGATTGTAAACTTAATTGTTGTCCTGTCCTTTGTTGCCTACTTAGTCGGTTAACCAACCGAAATAAAAGAAACTTTGTCTCCAGTAGGACAGCATGATTCCAGTGGAGAGCTATGTATTTAAAAATTATGATCCTTCCCAAAGAAAAATATCATAGCAGCATAAGTGATTAAAGAATAACTTGCTTGAATTACAAGTTATTCTTTCTAATCAAGGTGGCAGGCTAAAATGATATTAATTGTATAAATAGAAGGTTTTAGGAGATGACTTCAATAAAATTAAAAGTTGAATCTGTAAATTATTATTAGACGAAGGGAGTGAAGTATGATTAATTTTATGCTAGCTAAAACAGAAAGATATTGAACATTATTTTAATTGGTTTAATAATATTATTTATGCTGATGTAGCATTAAAGATTTGATTTTATATTTTTCTTATTGCTTACGGGGAAAAATGTTTATTGCCTTAGAAGAATATAAAACTTATTTTTAATGCCACATTTTTTTTAACAAAAAAAACAACTTTTCATTGATATATGAAAATATGAAAAGGAGAAAAAGTTCAAGGTTACAAACTCCCAAAGGAGTTAGAGAAAAAGAGAACAAACTAAAGAGGCTCAACAAGGAGCATTACAAGCAAAATAAGAAAAATAATAAAAGCCAAGGATCAAGCTAACTACAAATAAAACAAACCACCAAGATGCGAGGACACGAAAAGAGAAATTTTATGAGTCTTACTTCGGGCTTGCCAACTTAAACTTCTGGAAATATATCTTTAAGATCCTGCGAAATTTGGCTCGAATTTAAGCTAATTCTCTAGTCCGATCAGCTTGTATGTCCAACCTTCTTCTATAAAACTCTTCTATTATCATAGCCCGTTCTTTGCGAAGCAGCAAAAAAAGAGGCTGCCAAATGGTAGCCAAGCATCTTAAGATAAGAAATGCGTTTCTAGAAAAATCTGCAACCCAAATATATCAGCCAATCAGCCGAGAGAAGGACAAATATATATCAGCCAACCAATCTATTTTACTATTTTAATTTTGTTTAATTGTTTTAGATAGGAGTAGAGGCTACAATACTGCGTATGAATGGAGATCTTGGGCTAACTCATTACTTCTTATTTTGAAGAGAACATGGTGATATGCTTCGAAGATCAGGCTACTGGAAGATGCTTGAATGGAAGCCGATGGGGAGATGAGAACTTCTCTACTAAAATGTATCATTAATTTATTTTATTATTATTATTATTATATTTGGTATTAAGTTTTGTTTGTTTAAATATTCTTCTACTTCATGATTCTTCTGTGAGTGTGGGGTGAAAGTTGACATTATAGTGTCTGATGATGTATGGTAGTTTATGTTACTAGCTAAGTTGGAGTCCTCTGAGTTAGTGTTCTCTTGGCACTTTAATATGTGTTACCAGTTTCTTTTGGTGCATATATTGTTGTTAGTCTTAGTCTCCGGTACTCTCTTTACTAATTATTTTTCTTTAATAACGGGGAGTCGGAGCTTTACTCCACTATATTCATGGGCACCCACACCCACTTTAAGGCCTGGATCCGGGAGACATCAAGAGTTTTTGGTATTAAGCTCACCGAAAAGTTCGGACTTGAGACCTCTAAACCAACATGACCAAGAAACTCCAAGCCGTTGTCAATCGAGCTGCTCATTGGGGCCTCTCTCTACTAATTATTCAAGTAGATGTGTGCTTTTCTTGTTGTATGATTTTTTTCAGAGCTGTGATTTTTACTCAGATATCATGGCAGAGCTTACATTAGCGCTTTACCAAATTTTCAGGCGCATTATTGACTTTGGTAGTGCTATTGATGCATTCACAGTTAAACATCTATATGGATCTACTGGGCCTTCCAGGTATCTCATTCCTTTTTGAGATATTATTATTCAAAATTTCTTATGTTTAGGTTTTGTACTGCCTGTTCTTAACTAATATTTGTGGTTGTAGAGCTGAACAGACTTTGGATTACGCACCCCCTGAAGCCTTACTTAATTCAAGTTGGTATCAGGAGATGTCAAGCTCGACTTTGAAGTAAGTTGTGTTGTATCTGATTAGAATTAAAGCTTTGTTATTCTTAGTTCACGTATGAAGCAGCTAATCATAAACATTAGAGTTTCAAAGTTAAACTTCCATTTTGATTAAGCTGGCTTGGATTGGAAGGGTGACAAACATAGGGAAGTTATTTCTCTGTTGTCTTTCTTATAAAATTTTAAACACCCAGGATAGCGTGCAGAAAATAAACCCTCATCTGACCATCTCCCCATTTGTTGTCTTGGCTACAAGGAAGAAACGTTAGACCACATGTTCATTTATTAGTTGCGTCTAAGCATTGGTCCTTTGTTTTATAAAAGTTTGGCTCACTGTGGTGCGCTATAAAATATTATGGACTGGCCTCTAGAGATCCTCTCTAGGGTTTTTTTTTTCTTTTCTTTGACAATATAGGGTGTACTGTTATGATTACGATGATACCTTATTAAAGCCCTGTTGTGGTGTATGCAAAAAAGTGGCTGAACGTTTGGTGTTTTTGCTATAATCTACGATATCTGGTTAGATAGAAGTAGGATGGAAGAAAATATGGGGTTTCTAGGGGTTTGTGATTTCTGGAAGAAAATTAATATTCAGCACATTTTGATGCCTCCTCGTTAGGTCCAATTGACTAATTTTTTTGTGACTTTTCTTTGCTTTTGTTGGTAAACAATTGGTGTCCTTTCTTGTAACTATCTTTTTGCTCCTTTATTATGTTTGTGGCTAGTACTTCTGGATGACCTCTCATTTGTTGTTCATTACACTCGATGGAAAAAAAGGTTAATTATTCCCATTTCATGTTAATCATTGACAGGTATGATATGTGGAGTGTTGGTGTTGTGATGTTGGAATTGATCTTAGGATCGCCCAATGTTTTTCAGGTAAGTGATTTAACCCGCGTTCTTTTGGACCAGCATCTTCAAGGTTGGAATGAAGGCTTAAAGGAGCTAGCATACAAGTAAGTCATTCCATACGAAGTTTTGTGATTTTAATGTCAGTTGTTGATAGTCATTCTTTATTTTGGAAATTAGTTATGAATCTGGTTAATTCCACCAATGATGATGTTTTCCCAGTGTTCTTTTCTGAGGTGGCCTAAGTTTAAAATTCCAAAGGCTCTAGTAGGAAGAGAGTTCGCAGTTTCAAAATTTCTCTACATAAAAACAGTAGATATTTGGTTTTCCAAAACTGCATCTCCAGAATGAGACTGTTGTTTATATAATGGTAAGTTTTGACATGCATAATGAAAACGAATACTTGGTTTCTAAACGCTGGATTATTATTTTTTGGATAGGAAACAAATTTCATTGATATCATGAAATATACCAAAAAAACCTTATCCAATGAAGTTACAAAAAACTTCTCCAATTGAATATGAGAGAGTTCAGACTGTAACTATTGAAAGGATTTACATTTTTGCACCAAGATAAAGCCAAAAAAATAATAGTCTATCAATTGTTGGTGTGAATGGTCAGAATCCTTGTAAACGTTGGATTTTCAAAACTAGTTTATTATGTATGGAACAAAAATATTTTGTTGCATGTGTTTGATTATTGCGCATCTTTCTGCTTCTGTTGTTTTCCTTGCATATGATCAAAGAGCAAAGATTTCATTGATATAATGGATAATTTTGTAATTGTTTCTATTGAACACTGCAATATCTAGATACATACATGGAAACTTTTTTCATTAAGGTTAAGAAGATTTGCAGTATAGGAAAATCTGATAATTCTATTTTCAATGTATATAAGCTGGCTGTAAAGAATTTTGTTTATCAGGAACTATGTTATTTTGTTTCAGTTTGTGGTGAAAGTAGAGAAATGAGGTTCTTATACGCCCCCATTTATTCTGGGGGAAACTCAAGTTGATCCTCTGAGGTTAAAATAAAATTCTAAGATACAATATATAAGAAATTCTTTTGTAATTACAGCCACTCTATTATTATTCAAGATTACAAGATTACTGAGCTTTTCTAGAGTAGTTTTTGGTTTGAGAGGGGTTCCTCTCATGCCTGCCCATAGGCTGTTTGCTTCCCTCTTTTCTCTATAAAAGGTTTCTTATCCAAAAAAAAAATTATATATATATATATAGATTGAGATTGTGAATCTGAAGTAGCTCTATCTACTTAAGCACGTGAAAAATATCCAGTAAAGTCTTCCTTTCCTCGTGAGGGAATCAGTTGGTGAATATGTGGTAATGTTTTAGTGCAACCATTTATTACCTCGGCTTCAAACGATTTTTAAACTCCCAGTTGAGTATGAGGTAACTTCGTCAGTTAATTTTCTTATGATAATCGAAATCATAAAATCTGTAGGAAAAAATAAGAGCATGGAAAATAAATACGTTGCCACATTGTCAACGTTTTGAAATTTCTAAATTGTATCCCAAAAATGGTGGACAACGTTCTTTTTCTTAAAAATCAATTACATTTTCAATCTTGTCCTTCTGTATTGACACTGATTCTTTAAGATCTTCTCCTTCACCAACTCGTTTTCTTGAACTGTCTTCTTAAAAGAAGTTCCAACAAATAGAATAGCTAGGCCAGGCAACATAATATGACACTTTTTCAAATGAAAAACCAGCATTCATTTCAGTCAATGAAAGTGCAAAAGCACGGACCAGTCAAAGATGAAGCAAAGGAGTCCACAAAGATAAGAACTACAAAATGAGGTTCCAATTATTTAGACTAAACACAAAGGCTACTTTACAAAAAAATAAATAATTAATTTTAGGATACATCCGAATGAGGCATTGCAGTGCGCAACACTCCAAACCTCCTTCCAAAGTATGCTAAGATATTTTAGAGAATAGCAAAGAGAATCAGCTGCCAAAAATGCTGCCATCCGCTAATACAAAAAGGTTGGTAGACACTCCTTATTCTGACAATCTCTACTCAAGGAGGAAGAAATCGAATTTATGATAACAGCGCTAGAGAGGAGTTTTACTTGTGGGACTTGATTAATTTTTTGAGCTCATATTGTACATTATCTGCCTTCTCTTTTTGCAATTATAACTTTTTTATTTCTTGTAGAAACCAATTGAATTTATCATAAAATAACTCTAGATAAGATCGGGATTATAATTGCTATTTAAGTTGGATAACCTAAAATGATCTGTTGTGCTAAAGAAAAAGAAAAAAAAAGAAAGGAAAAAGTGTTCCACCTATTATTCTTGAGAAGTGGTTTGTTTACACTTTTTCTAATATTAAAACAAATACAGGAACACATTTTGAGGATGCAGCAAATTATTTACTTATGTAAGAAGTATTTAATTTTATTGTGCAGGCTTAGAACGTTCATGGAGTTGTGCATTTTAATTCCTGGAAGTTCCTCAAAAAGTAAAAAAAGTGATCATGTTAGTTATTTGCGATCTTTTCTTTCTAAATTTTCATTTGGTAATGGTATCATATATCAACGTGTTCCTCTTCTCTTTTCCATCATTTGCATAGTACCTAGACAAGGTGGTTGTGTTGTATCAGTGTTTAACTAGTATTGTCAATTGTGCGTGTTCGTATATGAGTAGTTAAATGGGATAGTAGTTGTAGTCTCTTGGATGGGATTGCTGATGGCTAGTGGTTGTATGTAAGGAAAAAGGACAATGAAGTGAGATAAGGTATTCTGCTCAGTGGTATCTGGAATAGAAATATAGCACTTCTCAACTAGTGGTTTTGGAGGTTGGGGATAACGTTTCTCTTTGTGGCAGAAAAGGTTCCCTTGGTAGTTGTGCTTATTATTCTGGGAGGTTTTGATAGTTGCATTTTTTTTCCCTCTTCCTATTTGTGATTTGAAATCTAGTTGACACAAATCTATTATAATCTAGCAAGGAGGTTCACCAGCATCCTGGAAATGCTCTGAAGAAGTTTTTGGCCACCAAATAAGGAGTAGAGATCCTCTTAAACTTGGGTCAGTAATATAATAAAGGTTTAATGCGATAGATACTATCATCATCTAGATTTCTTAAATTTTTTTACTCATCATAATACGTTTTCACTGTGGCATCAGGTTTCCAAATGTTTGGGCTTTACGGTTAGTCCGCAATCTACTACAATGGAATCCAGTAAGTTTTTAGTTCGGAAGTATGAATATTTTGCATCTTTTTAGTATCAATAATGGAAGCACCAATCTTGCATGCGGTGGTAAAAACTGGATTGAGAGAAAAATTCTCCTGGAAGTTGTCTATAAATCAGATTTTTAGCTTGTCTGTTAATTACCAGGGAAAAATGTACCTACAGGTTTATATGTTTAAAATCTTTGCCGTGAAAAAAGTTAATATATTGGTATATGCTATCTACCTTGTGATTGCGCATGATTCATATTTTTTAGGAATTGTATTTGCTGACATAAATATATGACCTTGGCATTTTTATCCTTAGAATGATCCAAATGCATTTAAGAAGACATGCCTATGCAAATCAATAATCTTATTTCAAACCAAAAAAATTGGGGTTGTCATTGATGATAACCGTTGAGCTTTTTGCAATGTATTCGCCTAACAATTGCATCAGACAAATAAATAGCTCACTTGACAAGAATTGTGGGCCAGATAGTGGTCTCAGTGAATAGTTTCTTGTTTTTGCTTCATGAAGTCATACAGTACTGTAGTATCATTAACTGAAACGTTGTGTAATGCGTATGAACTGTAGGAGGATCGTTTGAGTGTCGATGATGCTTTGCGACATCCTTATTTCCACCCTTCTTCTAAAGGATGACCTTGCAGATTGACAAATGTTATACAGAGAGTAGTTATAATTTCACCAAAGGTACTACTTTCTCAAGAGTCTTATATTATAGTTAATATTTTCCTACAATATACACAATTCTCTTTCACAAGTTGCAGATTTTGTTGCCTACAATCGAAAATTGAACAGAATCAGAAGCTCGGTTGATGCATTTTTCCATCAATTGAGGATTTCGACATTCTTCTGCATAAGAATACTGATGCAAAATCTGGATGGAGCCTTTCATCTCTTATTCACAAGTCGCCCGTCTAGAGCTGATTATTGCCAGTGTTGTTATGATACTTTGTGAGTAATCCACTGTATCAATGATGCTAAATTTCTCGGTCAAGGCTCGAGATGTTCTGCTGCCACTGGTAGTAATATCATATTCATGTAAAGGTTGTAATTAAACAATATCTGTGTTATATCAAATGAGGTTACTGAGTTTGGGCTCTCTAGAAACTAATATGGAGAAAATTATAGGAAATTGCGAATTAAAAGCAGTATTACTTCTACTTATAAAGAGGAAATAGTAAAACTAAGAATAACAAGAAGAAATTCAAGTGACTGACCAACATTTTTATTACCAAAATGTATCAAGCTGTGGTAATACTTATCAACTTTCAAGTAATGCATTCGTCTAGTATCGATTCAAAGAACTACAGTGATATCAGTACCAAGATTAACTCTAATAAGAAAATTAAGACCTTACTTGGGAGGAGGGAAAATAAACCCACATTTACCTTTTAATAGCTGAAAATACTTTGATTTTTGTCCCCACTGTTTAAGTACTTTGGACTGATTCTTCAGAATACATTACGATACAGGAATGGAATCAGATGATTTTACATTAATTGATTATAATTACCAAAAATCTTACAAATTTATAACTTACAAAACCTGAAATACGGGGAAAAAAATCTATGAGAAATGGTCGTTACATACAAATGCTCTAGTATACATTATGCTGATGATATTGCAACTTGACAATTGTTTTTACCACCCATTCTACATTCATGGCTCATGGCTGTTTACCCGGCTGTGGAGCTCCAGCATTTCTTGATGATTCGGGTCAACTGAGAGAGCAGCTCGACAATCCCGCAGAGCACCCAAGACGTCATTAGTATGCTCGTGGAATGCGGCTCGTAGATGTAGAAGGTGAAGGTCTGCTTTGAATGCAATTGCCCTCGATAGTTCGGCAATCGCTTCATCTACCTTGTGGCTATCCATCAACACTGCTCCCACAACAAATCATTTAGTAAGACAAAAAGTGCAAGAAACTAAATCCTTTGCAGTGGGGCAAAATTGAGGAAAAATTTAACTGGTTCATCTAGAGAATTTACTGGCCCAAACCAAAGGGCCAACAGGTCACCAATGCCATCCATCTAAAAAAGTTCAAATGGATAATAATTATGTCCTCATTCCACATTTATGCTTTATTATGTCAACTCTATTATGGGCTCACTAATCACATGTAATTATTATTTGCTTGACGTTTAAGGCAATATTAACTCTTAATTTTTGAATAAAGTAAATAGAGGAAGAATATAACAACCTGCAGCGCGGTATCTGTATGGGTACACCCGAAGAGGATCCAATTGAGTGACCATATCTAGATCTGCTTTTGTCAAGTCACGATCACCATACTCGGACCTCTTCTCATAGGCAGATGCATTATTGCGCGCCTTCTCGATTAGTTTGGTCATCTCCTCGTACGCTGTAGTCTTATCATTTCTGAGATAGTGAACCCGAGCAAGGCCTTGATGCGCTCGAGTGTGACGGATTTTGAGGGCATTAATGTAGCAATCAGCTGCTAAGTCTAACTTCCCACAGTCAACATAGACACTCCCAAGATTGTTCAGTGCCTGAGAAAAAATGACCAGTTACACAATTTAAAGATAATTTTTCAGTACTTGTCACGAGTAGTTGCCTAATCACATGTATCATTCCACTGGCACAGGACGAGAAAGGAAACGACATAGGCTACGTATTTCTTCCAAATGAACCAAAGTTGCATATTTTCTAATGATTTAACATCTCATAACAAAGGTATATGGAAGAAAACAGACACTAAAAAACATGTTTCAAGTTATTGCGATCCTATTTTAAGACGATAAACGAGTCAAATGAAATATATCCACTCAAAAACAGAATGCTTTGAAAAAAAGTCCAAACATTACATACTTAAAGATTTATCATAAGTGAAAGACGCTAACCATTATACCACTTCGTGGAATTTGTACTAAACATGTAGGTGATTGAGAAAACCATACCTGACCTTTGCGCAACCTATCAGAGGGGCACTTTAAAGCATCTTCTAGAAGGGAGATAACTGTAGAAGAACAAGAGGGATCTTGGCTTGAGTCAGCCAGTGCATAGGCCTTCAAGAAGAAAGCTTCAAAGGATCTCTTAATTTTAATTGATTCCTCAGCTTTTTGGAGCCCTTCCTCGCAATGACCTGTATCGTACAAGATCCAACCCTCATAAACCAACCTTTCGTGCTCGCTGGATGCATGTTGACGAGCTAACTGTAAACTCCGCATGGCGGCCTCAGGACAGTTCAACCTGACAAGTCAATGAATGAAATCTTCAACTGACACTTGAAAAAGATTGCTTTCCCACTTCACTAACGGGCAAGTTTTACATAGAACTGAGGGAGTCCCAAAGAGGGAAGGGATATGCAATGACAATTGAGAAGTTTCAAGATAAGAGGAGGTATTATTGGTTCATTTATTATTGTTATTTTTATTTCAGTTGAAGAAAATAAAAAATACAATGCTGCTGATGATGAGCTAACTATTTTTAAGTAATTAGAAGTAGCTGCTAATCCAGACTACATTTCCTTTTCATGTGGTGTAGATCCAGCTCTCCTCTCATATAGTTTCTGGTGCATTACATTTCCAGCACAAATAATGTTCTTGCACTCTGCAGTTGTGACGTAAAGGGTTCAATTGGAGTTTATCGTATGTTGGAAGAGCAAAAAAACGTTCTCTCGTTCCTTTGGAAAGGCTAGCATTTAAATGTTTTAAATCACCAGTTGAAATCCATAATATAACCGTTTTGTCTTTGGTTATGAAGTTTACATGTTATGAATTTAGCATGCATATGCTCAAAAATCAACCTAATTTCTGCAATTGTAAGCAATGCTCAAAGGTCATCTAAAGCCAAAACACATAGGTTTCGTAAACCTATCAGGAAAAGAGAGAGCACTCTATTCTTTTGATTGCTTAAAGAAAGTTGCATTCAGCCAATCATTTGCACGCCAAATAAAAATAACTCAAAAGGAAAGTCTCAGGCTGGGGTTAGAATAACATACCGTAGAAGAAGCAAGGACTGTCTGAAATATAGAACACCTTTTGATGCATCAGACTCAAGCATCTGGTAGATTACAGACAGAGACCCGATATCATCAACTGAAGACCATCTATCATACAATTGAATCCAACAATCTGCTGTTGTCCAATTGTTAACATGCTCACGTACAAGAGTTCGGAGTTGAACTGCAGCTGCTTTCCCCTCAAACATCCGATAATCAGGTGAGAGAGTAAGAATTGCTTGAATGTCACAGATTGCCGCTTGATAATCTTCAAGAGCAAGGTAGAAACAAAACCGAAGTTCCAAGCATTCCAGTGCAAGTTTAAACCCAAGAATACGGTTGATTTCGGCAAGAGATGCATGAACATCCTGTTTCCTCATTAATGAAGCAGCTCGGTACATATAGGGATATGTCAGAGTTGGATCCAAGTCAGTTGCTTTCTCAAGATCTGAAAATTTCTTGTTGCCTTCACAATGTAATGATCTCTCCTGATACATCCACCCAAGTGGAACACCAGTAGAGATGATAGATGTCAGCTTCTCTTCGGACCAGCGCTTGTTACCATTGATCTGGCTCAACCTAGCCAACCCAACGGCAGAATAGATATGGCCTGCACTAAAAGCAGCCTCGAATAGACGTTTGGCTTCATCATACTCTTTCCTCAAGAACCTTACACATCCCAATTGATGAGAAGCAAATAGTCTCTGCCTATCAGTTTCGGCAAATTCCACCAACCTCTCTAGAAAGCAAGCGGTGTTCTCAGATCGAGGATCAAGGTTTATAGAAACTTCACTTAATAAACAATAGAGGGAAAATGAGGCATGACCAACCATAATTGACCTTTGTTGTCTATTTGCATGCATAAATATTTGCACTACACGATCATCACTCAAGCAATCAGGAAGATCATTTAGAAAAGTTTGCAGACACGATGCAGCGAGAACATGGCAATTTTCTTCCAGAGCATAGTCCATGAGCTCCACCGCATCATCTCTAGAGGAGGCAAGAGATGCTAGCTTTCTGTCACATGCATCTTTGAGCTTTTCGCAACAAAATTTATTTGCAAAAATCAATATTTCCAACAAAATATCTGGAGAAACTTCACCCAGGTCCCCTGTGTTGCTGAACTCCCTTATAGCCCTCATGCCAGAAGGGGAAAGATTGTTCTCAGACAAATCAATGACCTCACTGTTTGATTCAGTGAAGCACCCATTAAGCATAGCATGAAAAGGAACTGAGAGACCAGAAACTTTCTGCCTATCACAAACAATATCCTCATCATTAATTTTAAAAGTGACATGCCTTGATGTTGGGTTCCCATCAGCTGGATACGTGTCATAGGGATTTCCAGCGTCTAACACAGTATCTACAGGGAACTGGGAAGCAATCTCGACCAGTCCAAACTCTTGTGCGCATTTTTCACAAGTGGAAAGTAGGTCAGTAATAATCTCTTCCCCCTGCTTCTCATATTTTAACCATGCCCCAAATATAAGCTTTTCGTGAACAATGCTAGCTTTCTGCCAAGCAGAACGAAGACTTCTTCGCATAAGTTTAACCTCGCCAAGCCCCCTAAAGACCTGAAACTGAAGCAAATAGAGATTCGATCTCTCATGGGCAGGACATGACTCAAGCTCTTCATGAATTTGAGCTAAAACTTGTACATAATCAACAGGTTTGAAGTACGGCAGAATTGGTGGCTCAGGGACCTTGATAAGAGATTCTCTACAACAATTTAATCAACCCTAAGAAAATTAATTTGCTGAAATGAATCTCAAATAGCTACTAGACTGCAAAATAAAATAAAATAAAATCATAATCTTACATCGACGAAGAAGAGGATTGTAACGAGAGTTTGGATAGTTTCCCTCGTTCAACCTGAAGCCAAGCCTGCGGATAGAACGCATTGAGCTGCGTTTCTTTACAGGATTCGGAAGGGAAGAAAGTCCTCATAGCGCACAAGAGATCAACGCGAATCCCAGATCTCCAAAAATGCCAGATTGCTATCTTTCCCCAATCCAACTAACCTAACGAGGACCAAAAAGAGAGAATACTGAAACATGGGTTGCACACAAAAACAAATCGTTAGATCGCAAAAACCTAATCTGGTGGGAAAATTTCATGCCGAACTATTCAAAACTCTGCAAGAAAAATAATTTCAGACTACGGAAAGGCAGCTCAAAATCATTTTGAAGCGGAAAAAAGCCGAAAATGAAAAAAGAATCTATTTTCAATCCATAAAAAGAAAAACCCCTTATCTTCAGGGATCAAAATCCGAGCAATTTGCAGTGACCACCATTGACGGGGCGAATAATAAAATTAAGAAAAACAAAAAACAAAAAACAAAAGTTGTGAATCACCATTTTAATTTGAAATACAGAAATATAAAAAGAAAAATGAACAATCATTGATTAGTGTCATCAACATGTAAAGGAAAAACCCACCGCAGGCGCAGATTACGTAAGATCTCTCTCCCAGAAGCGCGACGAAGAAACCCACGAACTGATCCATCCAACTCCTTCATAGATGATCAAATCGGAGATTACAAGCTGGGCTCAGAAATCGTGGAGATCAAATCGATAGGAAAACGAAAATTTGAGAGTTGAAACCAACATCTTTTGGTTTTTGCCCTCCCTTTTTTTTTTCTTTTCAATTTTTTTGGGTTTGGTAAAAAGGAAAGTAAGTTGTCTTCTTTTTGTCTTCCTTTCTCACGATCTTTCCGTTGGGGGAGTCCAGAAAAGATTGGAGGCATCCACTGTTCGTGTTTGGTTGGAGAAAATGGTTAGAAAATTAAAAATATTCGCAAAATTAGACAAATCTGTACTGTGGCATTGGCTTGGCAACTGGCTAAACGCCGTCGTTTCCATCTAATCTTTTTGTTCCCTTTGCCATCTGGTCCATTAATAAAATTGAATAAATTTAATTAATGGAATGGAGAGCATAGCAGAGCAATATTGGTATGTTGCGCTCGTACCCTTGTCTTCGGTACGAACGGATTGTTGATGGAATGTCATCTGGGTCCCACATCCACCACAGCATAACTTCTTCCCTACACACAAATCAATTCGATTCAATTACCCAAAATTCAATAATTCCATATGATGTCAATACAAGCCAAACAAGTTACAATAATCAAATCCCATTAAATTAATTTCTATAATCTTTATTCGAGGTTAATCATCAATTATTTGGTTTTGGTTTCTATTTGGTCTCCGAATTTAAAAAACATAACGTTTGGTTCCTAAGATTTAAATTTAATTTCTATTTGGTCGTTAAATTTCAAAAATGACATGTTTGGTCTCTAATGTGTGAATTTAGTTTTTAATTGGTCCTTGAGGTTTGGGATTGGTTTCAAATTGAGATTTAAATTTTGTTTCTAATTGGTCATTGATTTGAGTCGACCATTAGTTGACCTAACGAAATTATGATATCACAATTAACATATATTGACTAGACTTTAATACTTAGGCAAAAGAGAATGAAAAATCTGGTTAGGTTTAGTGACGGTCAACTTAATTCGGGGACAAATTATAAACCAAATTCAAACTTCATGGACCAATGAAGTCCAAATCTCAGGGACAAAAAAAATATATTTTACCTTAGATTTTATCTATCTTTTTTTAATAGGAGACAAATATATATATTAATTATCGTTGTGCTATGCTCGCTTTGACTTATTATGATAATAAAGAAATTGGGGGCAATCGAGGAGGGGCAAGATGGGAAGTTGGGTAGTTTTTGTGGGGCCCGGGAAAAGCGTGCCAATAAAAACGCATGAGTGAGCAGTAGCACAGGGAAACAATTGGCGTGGCGTGGGGTCCTGCCTCCCATCCCACTCACAACACCAATGCAATTAACAACTCATTCCATTTGGTCACCCAATAAAACCAGCTAACTGCCAACGTGACCAATTTTTCGCATCAAATTACTAAACTCACCCTCACCCTCACCCTCACCCTCACCCTCACCCTCCACTTGCTTATACTTATCCTCCAATGTGGCTCGGTTGGAACTTGGAACACTTGTCTATTAATTAAATATCATCTTGCTCTCTCAATTCTCAAATCTCTCAATTTTAAAAATTTATGATTTTGAGCAAACTTTTAACACTTTTTTTTAAAAGAGAAAAAGAAGATTCTTTTAGATTGTTAGCAAGGATTTTGGCTACTCAAATTTAAGAAGATAAATTTAGATTTTTAATAGATACATTTATTTATCTTGAATTACATATTAATCCTAAAAGCTACACAAATTCATAATTATGATTTTTTTAACTAAAAAATCAACTTATTATAAATATGCATTTAACTCTTCTTTTAAATCCAAATAGATAGAGATATATGAATAAAGTAACATCACGTCTGAATTGAGAGTGATCTTGAGATACGAATGTCGAGGTCATAAAGTATGAATCCAAATTCTAAATCCGGGCATGAATCATGAACTTGAAACATTAACAAAACATATGCTATACAAATCCAGATTTATACAACATATTAATTTTCTATATATTCAAACACATCGCACAAATTTAGTTTTTTCGAAATTTTTTTTATTACAATCGGGTGTCAAAAATCACATTTTTCGCGGTTGTTTGAAATGGGGAGAACTACTCAGCTTTCAAAAAGTATGTTTGATCGACGAAATTCTTTAAAGCCTGGCATCGGGTATTGTATTGCGTTACTTTAAATGCACATAGGACTATGCAGAGAAATTTTTTATGGAGGGATTTTGGGAGTTGGGACAACTATAAAATGTTAGTACACCGTTCCTTTTATTTGGGCTCCGAAGAGAGAGAGGGCCGACCCAAAAGCAGAAGTATAGTCTAAAAAGCCCAAATTAATCAACATGGTGGCCTGCTAGGTCTAACAGAAGGGGTTTGTGATAAGCCAAGATCTAGGTGAAGAAAAGAAACCGAGTGACGGAAAAATACTTGATTCCTTACCGGCAAGAACCTACGCCGTTGATTTGATCACTTGTCATTTTTTTTTTTTATAATAGTAGTGAGAACTTATAGATCTTTAAGAGCGAGGTATATATTTTTCAAAAAGAAAAGGAATACTAAGATGAGTTAAAATAGTTAGACTTCTTTAGACAAAAGATTCTATCTTTATCGTTATTAAATATTTGACGACATATTTTTTATAAAAATTAATGAGTCTGTCATTTTTAAAGGGAGCGAGAACCATATTTGATTCTCACCGTCAAGAGTCAAGAGGCAAGTGTTTTTCTAGGATGGGAGGACGACTGAATAGCTTCTCTGAGGAACCTTTTTGAGAGTAGCCCAGAGAAGATCCATGTAGAGAGGAAATTGAGCAATGGCAAACAAGGAAATCGGGAGGCAGGTGACGGCGTACACTGGGAATGCGGCGTATTGAAGCTTTTCCTCCAGCACGAAGAAATGCCCAGCGCAAAACGAAACCAACATCGTCGTGATGGACACGAATAGCGTCGACAACCCCACCAGAAGCTTGGTCGGGAGATTCCCTCCAAAGTCCTTTTCTTGGAACCTGGAGGTCAAGATCGACAGAAACATCACCAAAGACGTCACCGAGCAAGACAGCGCAACCAGCGACGCGATCGCAAATATCTGGAACCCTGGCCGGCAGCAATGGGGTCCCTTTTATCTGATCATTCCCCCCGGGCACAGTTGCCGTGGTCGCGAACGCCACGGTTGCGATCAGCGCAGCCACCAACGAGCAGGACTCGGAGGTGTTGGTCAGCCACTCCCCGCCGCCTTTCACAAGCTCCTTGTGGGTGTCCGTGAACATAACTCTTGGAGTCTTCCCGTCCTTGTTATAGCGGGGGAAAAAGTTGAGCGGCATCGAGTCCTTCACGAACCGGTACCATTTGAGCTCCCATTGCAGTTGCAAGGCGGCTCCCGGGATGAGCCATGGCTTGTGATCCCCGAGCTTCGCGGCCAGGTGCAGCGCGCTGTTGCCTCCACAATCCACCTTTCGAAACACACTCTCTTTTATGATTTTGCACTTGTGCAATAATTGGTACACGTGGGGCTGTCTGTTCTCCACGGCCAAAAGCACGATGTTCTTCCCGTCGGCGTTCAGGTCATGGATGGCCACTGGGAAAAGTTGGAGGATTTTCTCCACCATTTCCACCACACCGTTCTTGGCTGCAAGTAAAATGGGCGTCTCTCGCAATCGCGAATTGTACTCTTTGGTTTTGTCTGTTGCTAAAAGAACCACGTTGTTGTTGCCGTGAATGTCTTGAATGCTCATCGGAAAATATTTCAAGATTTTGTCACCCACGCTGTAGTTTGATGCTATCAAAATTTTTGTTGCTCCTTCGTCTTCGTCTAAGTTTATTCCGTCTTCTTTCCTCTCTATTGTCATAAAAACAAAACACATGCACATCATTAATATCTTATAAATTTGTTGTAATCCATTTAAATTAATTAAATTTATCAATCTTATTAACTTCTTGAGTTGAGTAATGTTTCATCTAATATAACATGTATAATCAATACTTAGATTTGACTGGTAGAAAGAATCTATGTTAACGATCTTTATTTTTTCCCTTTAGAATTAAAAACAAAATATACAAATTCAAATAGTCTCTAAATGAATAGACAATTTCGAACTCATTTTAAAATTTTTAAAAGTTCTCAGCTAGAAATCCTATCATTTACATAGGACTTTTTTGATCTTTTTCTTTCTTTTCATTTCACAGAATGCGTAGTTCCTTATATTATTGGATGAAAAAATAATTTCTTTAAAAAACTATTGTTTTTTCTAAATTCTTTTAAAAGTTGATCTACTATTTTATAAAATTTCATTTACACACGTTTGAAAAGTAAATATATCACTCAAATGTTACTCGTTGATGGATAAAATTTAGCTGCATACAGATAAGGAAGAATCTTCCTACTCACCACCATTAAAAGAAATTGACAGCTATTTATTTTATTTTCTCTCTTCTTGCATCTCCCTTAGTTATATAATTTTTCTAAAGTTGGTAAATAAGAGATATCTACTTGCTTACAAATCCACCTAGCTAGCTATGTTAATAAAATAGTAAATTGAATGGAAATGATACGTTAGTTTTATGTTAATATATTTTAACAGTTTTCTTTTTTAATTTCAAAATAGAGTATTACCTATAAAATACCTAAAAATATTTACTTTTGAACATAATAATTATCTTACTAAACTAAAATGAATATAATACTTGATGATATTATTATAGAAATTGTATAGGTATATACCTTGACTATTGTAAATCATTTTGGATGGTTCATTGATCCAAAGGGGATAGATTAATTAAGAGGGAATGAATTCAAACCCATGATCCTCACATACCTTAAGAATGAGTAAATCTTGTGTTTTATGACATCAAATGTTATAGGGTTCCATAAGATTAGTTAAGTAAAAAAAAAAAGAAATATATATACCTCGAGTATTGTTGATGTTGTGATGTTGTTGATTAGAATCAGAGATGTTGTGATCAACGAAGGCGACACCGCCATGGATTAAGCTATAAGGTTGTGTTATTTCGTCGTGGTCTTTTGACGTGGATTCCGCCGCCGTCGTCACCGGCACACCTCCATTGTCATCATATTCGTACATCCAAGCACATTCTAGAAGCTCCTCCATAACTTGGACCGACCAAACATGCTTCTCCTTCTTGCTCTTAATCTTTCTTATTCCTCTAAATCCTTTTTTTTTATATGATTATTAAACCACATCCACACCCAGATATCAAAATCAAAACTAGTTACATGATCAACACATATTTCATATATGTGTGGTTTATTTAATTAATTAAATAATCAATTTCATATACCTTGCCCCAGGATTACCAGCACTGCCTTGGAAACTAGTTTCACAAAGTTGAAGCAGGTTGCATAATTTTCCGGCAAAAATTCAGTCCCTTGATGTATCACCACTGAGTCATGCCCTGTAATATACTTATAATTAACTTATTCATGCTATTATCATATATCATAAATGTTTTATATATGATACAAAATTGTGTTGGAATTGTAAAGTTTGCCAACAAAGTTCTATATTAGTTAGGGAAGAGAGTAATCATGATATATAGATAAGAAGAATTATTTTCACTGTTAAGAAGTTTTTTCATTGTTACGAAGACAGGTGATGATCTATCTCATATTCACTGTCATTAAAATAATAGATAACTTTTTAAAAAATTAATAATGCGTGGTCACAAGTATCTAATGTTATCATCAATGTATTAATATTGATGAGTTTCATCTCAAAACCAATTGACAATAAGAGAAGTAACGTATGTCTATTATAAATCATTCTAAAGTTTTTTTTTTTTTAATTCAATGTGGAATCCTTAACGTGCCTCTTAAGATCGTGGTTCTTTTGACTCATCTATCTTGACCGAATCTCATTTTTTGATCGGTTGTTCGTTTGAGCGTGTTGGACTCTGATACCATATTAATATCCATGAGTTCCAACTCAAAATCAATTGACTGTAAGAGAAGTAGTTCATATCTCTTATAAACCCGTGTAATGTCTCTTTTCTTTTTAAATTCATGTAAATAAATTAAATTTATCTAATTCATGCTTTTCGAGTTGAGCAGTGATTTATTATCGTGACATAAAGAAAAAACCTTTGGGTTGAGGGTGAGCTGGATTCTCTGCATCTGTACCGTTGTCCGTTGCTTTATTGTTGTTTGGTAATTTTTTGTTTGTAGTCCACACGGCAATTACTACACAGAAAAAGGCCGAAATTAGAGGGGAATAATATTTAATTAAAGGATTTGTGGGATTGCGAAAAGGTGGCGGAAAACTGAAAACTGACCCACTTGAATTGCTTTCCTCAGAAGATACAAGAAGTTGACGCAGGTGTTGTAATTGTGTGGATAACATTTCTGAGGTGGCGGCGAATGCGGCCTCTTCGAAAGAGCGCGGCGAAATGAGTTGGGTTCAGCCTTCAGTTCATCCACAAACATACCTGTAATTATTATAACCCAAATGTGCATACGCCTACGCTTGTGATTATATATTTTAAAATTAAGAATTTAGGGCTTGATTATTGTATTACAGTGATAAACGATCATCTTCCATCTTCCTAATTGGCTTCCACTTGGGAAAGCTGAGGGCTTCGTGGCTAGAAGATGTAGTGGAGTCAGACCATACACGTTCACCGAGTTCACCAACTCCTTGTACAGTTTTATGATATGGAATGCCAAATCTGTATTAAGTTCAAAATGGTTTAAAAACTACTATTTTTATCTTTACAGTACTTTGAAAATATTCATTTTGTTAACTTTGATTCATTTTGGTCGTTCTACTTTGAAAATGTTCGTTTTGGTCTCTATACTTTAAAAAGTGACCATTTTAGTCTCTCATTCTAAAATTTTAACACAAATTTTACACTTAACGGAAATTATTTAGTATGGAGTAATGTTTACATTTTAAGAAATATATTGATTGTAATATGGATGTTGATATTGTGATAAAAATAATTAGATTTAAAATAAAATGAAATTACCAAAATAACAAGTACCACAGTGACCAAAATGAACATTTTCAAAATGTAAGTATATGGACTAAAATGAACCAAAGTTGAAAGTAGAGCAACAAAAATGAAATTTTAAAAGTACAAAGACTAAAATGAACTAAAATTGAAAGTCACATACCACATTAAACTAATATTTTAACCTGTTCGTTTGTTAACGTTTCCATTTTTTGTTTATCATTTCCAATTTTCTTTACAACTAACTATTTTTCTTATTTATTATTATTATTATTATTATTATTTTGGAACATTATCAAATTTGTACTGAAATTTTAGAAAGAACTAAAGTTTCTTATTTCTTGTTTCTATTTTCAATTTATTCTAAAACATAAATAAAAATATTGTTTTATAATACTTGAATTCATAGATGTTAGACAATACAATTCATGTTTATCGGATAAACATAAATAAGAAATAGAAACGCCTTCATTGGCTAGGAAGTAAATATTTTATTTTTAATTAAATTTGCAGTGAACTGACCGAAAAAATCACCCATTATGGCACAGTGGAGAACGGTCTCGCCATCTTTGGATCTTCTGCAGTTGAAACAGGCTTCATCGGCGGCGGCGCACAAGGAGTGGAGGCAAAGGAAAGCATCTTTATTGCCGTGGAGAGCGGCCATGAAGAGTGGGGTCTCCCCGTCATCGTTTCGTATATTCACCAAAGAGGGCTCCACAGAAGCGATGTCGTAACACATCTTCACGTTTCCCAGCGTCGCCGCAATGTGAAGCGGAGTAAGGCTCCTGTCGTTTTTCATCTCGAGCACTTTCTCACCGGCGCCGGAGCTAATGATAACTTTCACCAGTCCTTCCACCACGGCTTCTTGGTCGTCCGACACCGCCACGTGGAGGGCCGTGTCTCCCCCTTTTGTGATTTTGGCATCGTGGGCCCGCTCATCTGTACAGTACTTCTCCACGACTTCTTCCCATTTTCCTTTCATGGCGTTTCTGAACAGATATTTCTTCAAGCTTTCCAACTCCATGTCCCTCCTCTCATCATCTGTTCTGGAGGAATCCATGTGATACTTAAACTTCTCTCTCTAATATAATCTCTTACTGCTAATTATGATCTCTGCTTGGGCTTTTAATTTATACACAGATCACATAGAGGTGATGAGAGAGAGAGAAAAAAAAAACAAGCAGAAATAATATGTAATGCATCGTAGGGTTACTTTTAAATTAAATAATAACAATCTACTCCAACATAGAGAAATGATAAAATTGTTATAATTAAAAGAGAGAGAGAGAGAGATTTTGAAGATCATTCCATTCGACTTGAATTCCAAGTTAGGGATCTTCTTTGTCTCAAAAAGAAAAATGAAAGAGAAAAAAAGAAGAAAGTTATGAATCTTCTGGTCTATGGTAAGTTGGAGTGAAGCGTTCGCCTTCTCAGATTTAGTTTTATGATTTATCTACTCAATATATTATTATTATTATTATTATTATAATATACATAGATGGCTTGAAAACAAGGAAAAGCACATGCATATATGTATATAATAATCTACCGTCAAAGAGTATGAAAATTTAGGGTTTGTTCGTTAATATTACTTCTTTTTTTTTTTCCAGAAAGAGGTACCATTTCATTGAGAGGTATGTGAGAAACATACCTACAAAAAGGAAGAGCCTAAAAAAAGGCTGTCCAGTTACAAAAAATGGTAGCTATAGAGTAATTACAAAAAAGATTTGATTTGGAAGATGAAGATGAGACATTTATATTGATGTTCTCCCCAAGCCAAGCAGTAGAAATCTAAACATTTTGTTTCTTATTTTTAATTTTCTCAAGAAATCTAAACATTGTGTTACTAACTACATTTGTTGTTTTTCTCCCTTTTCGAGAACATTCTCAAGATTGTATATAGAATTTTGGAAACAATCAAAACCAAAGTTTCTTATTTCTAGTTCTCATTTCCAATTTATTCCAAAGCATAAATTAAAAAATGATTTTATCATATTTCAATTCATAGATTTTGGAGCCATGTAATTCCTCTTTCTTAGTGAAAAATAAAGAAATTAAACAAAGACAAGAAACGAGAACATTACCAAACGAGTCCTTAACAACCGCACGCTACCTTATAATAATAATAATTTTTGTTTCGTGAATGTGACGTAGGACAAGGACTTACTTATATACATTCATCCTCGATATGATTAGGTCCTTTTTCAATTTACTTTTTATTAAATTTTGGTTCAATAGTCTTTATCGACCCCTTCCCAACCTTATCGAAACTCTTATAAATTAAAACTAACATTTCTATCCAATTAAAATTTTATTTTTTATTAATCTGTATATATTTTAGTCTGATTAATTATAAAATTTGTAGTGACGTCACGAAGATTTGGGTAACATATCTCATTTCAATGGTGAATTTCCCATCCTGGACGTACGTAGCAGAAACTTTTTTACATCTTTGTATTATACACTCATGTTCAAAGTTAGGATCTCCCCTTGCTTAACTACTTACCCTTCTTGCTTTTATTTCTAGTACCTTATTGCAATGAAATTCAATCCTGTCAGAGTTTCTTAGGCGAAAAAAAAGGATAACAATACACACACAAAGGAACCTACCCAATATAAACAATAACCTTACAATTCAAGAATTAGAGTCTCAAAATAAAGGAAATACAAAATAAAAAAGAATTACATATATGTCACTACATACATAAATGGATGACTAAATGATTAATCAGATCATTGCATTGGGACTCATAGTTGGAACAATATGTGAGTGTTATGATCTGTTTTTGTATTTTTGTGAAAAAACTTTAGGGTGACAAAGGTCAATATTTCTTGCATTTCTTACTCGTTGTCAAATATTTAATAGGTAAAAACAAGGTGGCCGTGACAAGTTTTTTCCATGCATTATTCCGCCTTGCATTTGCAAGATTTCTGGGGTGTGGTGTCTTTGAAATCGCATTTACTGCATAATCATTTACTGTATGCATTTTGATGAGTGAGGGTCTCGGCTTTATTATTATTAACGATGACTTGAGCGCTCCTTCTAGGTACCGTTCTAACAATGGCATTCAGCAGATCGTAGTATAGAGGAAGCTGCGCAATGGCGAAGAAGATTGCGACCGGGAGAGAGACAGCGGTGTAGACGACAAGCGCGGTGTTGCGAAGGCGATGGTGGAGAAGAAAGAAGTGGCCCGCGCAAAAGGAAGCCAACATGGCGACGATGGAGAAGAAAAGTGAGGATAGGCCAATGAGCAGCTTCCATGGGAGGTTGGATCTAAAGTCCTTATCGTCGAACCTGAGAAAAAATTGAGAGAAAAACAAAATACGAGATTATTAAATACTTTGATCTCCATACAACATATCATTCTATTTATAATAAAAATGATTTTTAAATCATACAAAAATCCTAAATCATATATAGTTTAACCTGGAGGTGAGAATGGCGAGAAACGTGATGACTGAGGTTGTGGAGAGGCACAACGCAACCAGGGAGGAGAGGGCAAATATAAGGAACCCCAACTCCTTCTCAAGTGGTGGGGTGCCCTCCTCGCCGTTGCCACCGGGGATGGTGGTGGCGGAAGCAAACGCCACCGTTGTAATCAGAGCAGCCACCAAAGAGCATGACTCTGAGGTGCTGGTGAGCCACTGCGAACCGCTTTTCACCATCTCCTTGTGGCTTTCATGGAATATGGTTTTTGCAAGCCTTCCCTCGTTGTTGTAGCTCGCAAAGAATTGGGGTGGCATAGACTCCTTCACGAACTAGTTAAAAATATTAATTAATCACTGGAAAATATTTGGTTCCTTCGTGTGCTATTGAAAATTTGACGACTTATGTTTTTTTTTAAAAGTTCATGTTTTTACTTTTCGAGTTGTCAAAAATTTAATAGTCGCAACGACAAGGTTGCTATTTATCTTAAAGTTGCTCTTAAGTATTTAGCTTCTTACTAGTAAAAACTTTTTCTATATAATTATTAAATATCTGACAATTAAGATAGAAATGTAAAAATAAAAACTTAAAAAAACAAAATGAGTTGTCAAATAATTAATGGTAGTTACCTTATACCACTTAAGCTCCCACTGCATCTGCAAAGCAGCACCGTTGATGCGCCAAGGCTTATGAGTCGGGGCGTTGGCCGCTAGATGCAAGGCGCTGTTGCCTTTATCATCGACCCCACGGAACACGTTTTCTATGCGCTTTCTGTTGTCATGAAGAAACTTGTAGACGTCCGGCTGCCTGTACTCCGCAGCCAAAAGCACCACATTCTTCTTCTGGGCGTTAGTATCGCGAATGGCCAGTGGAAAGTGTTCGAACAGTCTCTTCACCATCTCCAGCACCCCGTGCTTTGCTGCCAATAACATTGCTGATTCTTTTGGACTTTGTTGATCTGTACTGTGAATAGCTGCAGCTGCAGGGTGTGTCGTCGTTTGATCATCTGTTAGATCTTGTGTTTGCTTCGTATTGAACCCGACCTGGTCTCCTACCAAGATGTAAGGAAGTGTTTCAGTTTCCTCGTCCTCGGATTGTAATTTCGATACTATCGGAGTATTTCCATCGTAGAAATACTTCTCCGATGAAGTTAATTCCAGAAGTTTCTCCATCACTTGGACTGACCAAGTGTGTTTTTCTTTCTTCTGCCGTATCTTTCTGATTTCATTAGATCCTAATTCATTCATTTAACAACAAAATTTAATTAATATAAGAGGCAGTTGGGAATATGACAAAAACATTTAATAAAATAGTAAAAAACGGAGATCCAATTTTAAAATGACAACCTTATTCAAATGATATACATTTGTAATAATATCTATAATATATATATATGTAATATATCTAACTATTGATATATGCATGTGATATTGAAATGAGTATTTGTGTAATATGTATATAATATGCTACTGATATGAATGTTTGATATACTTGCAATATATATTTGGTATACATCTAATATACTACCAATAAAAGTATATGTGTAATAAATATGTGATATACTACTGGTGTGAGTGTCTGATAATACTACTGTTATGAGTATCTGAAATAGTATTGATATGAGTGTCTCAAATGGGAATGAAGGAGAAGCGAGAAATTTTATCCCCGAGATCTGGAAAAACAAAAAGGATAAAATTGGAATAAAATTCTAATTCTGTACTATATTTAAAAATTAAAAAGCAATAGATGACACATTTTGAAATATTTATTTATTGCAGAGTTCGGTCACGTACCAAAGCCCAAAATGATGAAGATGCCCGTGAAAATTATTTGGAAAAAATCGACGCAGGTACTATAATTTTCGGGGAAATATTTAATCTTGGGCTTGCTTGCTGCAATCAATAATCACAAATATTACAATTTCAAGAATATGAATATATATTTATTATATTATAGTTGAGGATTAATTTATAAAAATAAAATGTACCCGGTAATGGATTACGATCAGCTTCAAGAAGTCGAATATTGGGATGTTCATGGGCTTCATCGGTGTCAAAATTTTCACTTTTCTCGCCAACTCTAAAACCTTTCTCCAGATCTGCATCGCTCTTCGCTTTATCATTGTCGTTGAGGCTCAGGTTTCTCTCCTTCTTCGATACTTGTTTCAAATTGCTGACTGTACTTTTACAGAGAAAATATTAGTGCTCATATCTGAATAATTCCAATAATAGACTAAATCAAAGGAAATTATCTGAGCGACGATAATAAATAAATAAATAAATAAATAAATAAATATATCTATATATAATAACTAGTCGAATAATGTTTTGGAGAATATAGAGAAAAAGGCAGGAAGACGAACTTATTAAAAATCCCTCCCACAACATTGTAATGAAATAAAGGCACGTGGCGTAGTTTTGTGGATAAGAAGGAGCTTTATTTTTTTGGACAATGTTTTACACACTTGGCGAAGCGTTGGTGCCGATGCAGGCTTCAGTTCATCCACAAATGTACCTTCCAATTGAAAAGAAAAAAATGAAGGCGTCACACGAGGAAAATACTTTGGCTCCTTATTTTCTCCTCATTAGTAAAAAATTGACAGTTCATTATTCTTTTTTAAAAAGATTATGTTTTTGCATTTCTCATTTCTCAATCTTAGTTTGTCAAATATTTAATGAACGTGAGGACGAAGTTACTCAACTCTTTAGGAGTCAAATATTATCCGTTATAGAATATGAAAATTAAAACTTGTCAAATACGTGAAGATAAGATTTGGTCGTCAGATATTTTCTGACTAGAAGAGGCATATAATTAATATGAATGAACTAGATTGGATAATGTAGTTGAAGCGAGGAGTCACAGGAGTAGACGATATTCCGCCACCCCTTGATGATGGTTCCACTCCTGAAGGCAGTTGGCTTAGTTGCAAGAACGTGAAGAGGGGTTAAGCCTTGCATATCCACCCAGTTAGCAGCATCATTGTTGACGCTAATGATATGGAACGCCAAATCTGTGAAAGTAGAGAGAAAATAAAAAAGCCCATATTTATACTATAATCAAAAGGTAGGAAAATGATGAAATGGTTGACTGACCAAACTGGTCGTTTCTGAGGGCACAATGTAGTACAGTGTCTCCATCGTTCCTTCTGCAGTTGGGGGTGATTCGATCGGAGGCGCAAAAATGGTAAAGGCAATAAAAGGCTTCCTTGTTGCCGTGGAGAGCGGCCAAGAAGAGAGGCGTTTCCCCGACGTTGTTTCTTTGGTCCACCAACGAGGGATCGAGGGAGGCGATGCAGTGGCACATCGTGGCGCTTCCCACGGTGGCGGCGATGTGGAGAGGAGTGTTGCCTCTATCATTTTGAATGCCAATCACAGCTCCAACTTGGTGCTGGTTTCGACAACTACTGATGAGGCTCACTAGCCTTGCCACCACTTGTTGTTGATTGTCAAAAGCAGCCAAGTGCAGGGCTGTGTCTCCCGATTGGGGCAGCTTAAGCCCGTGTGCTTCTGGCTCTTCCTCGTACTTTCTGATCACTCCATCCCAATTCCCTCTCCTCAAGTTTGTCGATACAAACTCTTGTAAATTTGCTCTCTCACTACCAATCATCTTCACCAACTACTTCCACCTCCACTTCAATTTCCTTCTTACACTTCCCAACTCATTATTTATAGTAATGACAATGTTGTGCCTGCTTTAATTTTGACAATAAAGTTAAAAGACTACCCAAAATCACATGCAATACAATATTAATAATTGTTTTAAAAGCTCAAGCTGATGCATTGGATAAATTTAATTCATTTATGGATATTTAACACTCACTTCACTCGTAGGTTTGAAAAATTACAACAAAACCCACAAAGTGGAAATTATAATAAATGGGGAGTAAATAAGAATGTAGGGATTCGATACCATATTAATATCCATTAGGTTCTACAGGATCCTCAATATGATCCCTCAAAATGATGTCCTTTTGGATTCATCGATCTTGGACCGAATTCTATTTTTAGACTGGATGCTAGTTTAAGTCTTTTGGATGGTGATATCATATAAACAAACTACTGCTGAACTCAAAAAAAAGTTAAGCTGATGAATTGGTTAAATTTAATTCATTTATGATATCTTACCACTATTTCGAAAATCAATATTCTCTCCTTAAACAATAAGCATTTCCTTTATTCCGCGTTTCCTTCGTGCTACTGCCCACCGAATTTCCTTTATTCGCTTCACTTTTCTTTCATGCTTCCACTGCCAAGCGATTAGCGTTTTAGATGAGGGCTAACTATATAATTTATTTTTTTTTTGTCTTTTCTGAATATGGTCTCTTACATTTTCATGCTTTTTAATTCTAGGTTAAGATTGGTTGATGATATGATAATTAGGTCTACCTAAGTGATAGATTTTTTATAGTTCTTCTCCTTCAAATTTCTTAAAAAATTGTTGAAATTTATACTTTTCCTATTTTATTTATTCTAGGACAGTCTAGTTTCTCCTCTAAATTTACGCAAAATTCGATAAGTATAATGTCAGGTAAGTTTATCATTAAAGCAAAATTTTAACATTAATGGGTATAATTGAAAACTATAAAATGTAATTAACAAATGGAAACTTTTAAATACTAGGGGATGAAATTGAGAGAACACGTTAATATTGTAGACTAAAACATCTATTTAACCTATTCCTAGTAAACAATTCAAGTAAGAGTTTTTTTCTTAAAAATGTGAAAAAAAAAATGACACCTGTGTTGGATCTGTAAGGAGTGCAAACAAAATTCCAGATTGGTTAGGGAAGTGAATGATCATAGGTATTGTTTGAGTTCTGATTAGGTGTAGGTCGGAATGGACTGGATGATCTTCTCTGAACTGTCCAACGGCCTCCCAGAACACTCGGAGGACCTGCAAAACAAAGTTAGCACTCCAACAAGCAAGTTAGTTGAGGTTTGAGCTAACTTGTTGATTTTAACTAGGATTGTCTACTTTGTATTTAAGGCAAGGGTTTCTATTTATAGAAACTGGACTCGACAGGAACTCTGACACACCCTAAAAACGCGGCGTGTTGTCGGGTTCGGAAGAGACCAGGTTACGGACTTTACCGAAGATCAGCTCGGCCATTTAGGTCATACCCTAACTGCCGACCTAAATGTTTTTGGTTCAATTTCCATATTTCATGCCGCGTGTCAACTCAACTCACCTCTTCGATCATGTTACGCGGTAGGCCAAGATTCGCATCTAACAGGTATAAGGGAAACAATTATCTGAGACCTTTTAGATAAAACAAAAAAGCGGGCGATTTTGAATCTCAATCCCTCGGGAGATATTGTACAAGCTTGATTTATTAGAATAAACTATATTTATAATATTGATATCTTTTTAACTAAAGTGAGTAAATACTATATAAAAGGAATCGGATGATTAGAAAAATGAAAAAAGAAAGTAAAATATTAATTAATTGGGATGACCAAGAGGGTCGTTTGTTAAAGCTATTTTGGGAATCATAGGATCGGGTAAGGAGACGTGCAGCGCAGGACATGTGTAGACTACTTAAATTTGAAGCTATGAATTTCTTCAAATGAATCCGAGAGACAAAAATGCTACATTAAAAAAATTAAAAAAAATATATTGGGTTTGCTTTAGCCTTTAGCAGAAAAAAGGGGGGAAAGAAAGTTAAATATTGAAGGTTACTTATTCAATCCGTACATTTTTTCTTTTTATTTTCTTGTCTGGAAAACTGTAGCACCAAAACTTGGATAGGAAGCTATGACCACAGTGGTGTGATTTTATAAAAGAGTGAAGCAATATAGATTAAAAAGTTGCTGACGTGGATCCAAATATAGTTTAAGAGATTAAATCACATATGTTCGATAGGAATGTTCATGGTATTGTAGGCATCCCGTACACCCATTTAATTCTGCATCCTCACGAAGTTTCGTGCCCTCGCGGTAGGAATTGAGTTCCTAGAGAGAGTTGTTTCTATTTCTTTTTTTATTTTTTAAATTATCTTTCAATAAATACCTTTTTCTTAATTTTTTATTTATTTAATTGCTAATGTCTAAGGTATAATTCTCTAAAATATATATATATTAGGTAGAGAGTAGATAAATAGATGACTTTTTTAGTATATATTAAAAAAATGACTTATGGTGGGGGAATGAAGAACGGGGAAGGAACATATTTCCCGTCCCATTTAGGCGATGGGGAAATTTTTTCTCTTATCCCGCCCCATTTAGGCATGTCTCATAGAGACGGCCCTATGGAGGAAATGAACATCTTTAATATTCGATTAGATTGTGATTCCGAATCTTCCATCCCACATGTTGTATTCAAAATATAAATATAAATAAATAAAAGTCGTTAACATCGTATTTTACTTTAAAATATATGTATGATCTCGTTTACATCCAAATTTAATTTCTTTATCATCTCATCCATGCATCTTCCTTTTCTCTCCTGTTATCACTTGAGCGCCTTTTTTTTTCCTTCTTTTAATTCCTTCTAATTGAATATTATTAAGTTTTGGTTTGATAGCCTTTTATCTATCTACCTCTCCCTAGCCTTATTTAAATTCTAAATTGAAACTAACATTTCTCTCCAATTAAATTTTTATTTTCTTCTTAATCTATATATGTTTTGGTCTATAATAATAATAATAATAATAATAATCATCATCATCATACTCAAAAACCCCAACCTAGATGCAATCAGTCGCCGGAGTTCTTTTCCCGTTTTCTCCTGAGTCCTGATTCCAGATCCGACATCTTTGGTTTGATTATCGCAACTTTTGGATGTACTCTATCGCCATAGACCAAGGACATTCTCTAAGATGGGCCTCCCTTCTCTTCCCTTGTCCAAGCCCATCATGTCTGGCCCTGCTCCTCCTCATTATTGTAAGGATCTTTATTTTTAATAAATTGGGCCCTTTTAGTTTGGTTTACCATGGGCTTAGCCCAAGCCCATGTACTCGCCGGAATCTTGTCATTGGGTTGCCCGATCCTCAGATTTCGTTGGACTATTCCTTCGATGTATTCAATAACTGGTCGAGTTGATGGACACAATAGATATTTATTCCAACCTTAAGGGATACATCCACTATGCCAAAAACTAAATTTGGAAAACTTATGCTATTATATAATATTAAATATAATTAATATTTTATTTTTTTCTTCTAAAAAAATCAACATCAATATGTACAAATGCGTGCGTGAGAGACGATTATAAAATGGTGTGGTTATTCGTGGTCGAAGAATTTCAAAACCATTATTTTTAGGATAAGTTTTAATTAATGCATTATACATTATACATTTGATATGTTTTAAAACAAGCATTATTTTACAAATAAATTTGAAAATAAACATTATTTAGAAAAAAAAATTTTCCTTTCTTCCATGTTAAGGAAACCCAGTTAACCACTTAGAATTTCATGAAAATTTAGAAGAAAAAATTTAAAAAAATAGTAGTAAGAAGGAAGAAAGAAAGTAACCTATTGTACTTTCGCGCTAACACGCGATCCATCCAGAAGTCTCCGTCTACCGGAATCTCTCCATCTTATAAACTCTGCAAACGGATCGAATCTCAAACCGCCAATTTGTCCAACCTCCGATCTTTCTCGATCATTTTGCCGTCCGCCAAACATCTTTGATTAAAGCTTTGTTTCTCTGTTATCCTTGGATTTGTACTTGGCGTTTCGAAGATGTGGAACCAGCCGCCGTTTAGGAAGACTGATGTGGAGTCCGGATCCACGCCGCTGTACCCGATGATGGTCGAGAGCCCGCAGCTCCGATGGGCGTTCATTCGGAAGATCTACTCCATCATTACCATCCAACTGCTCGCCACCATTGCCGTCGCGGCTACTGTTGTTTATGTTCGCCCGATTTCTACATTCTTTGCGACTACTGGGGCAGGCCTGGCTTTGTACATCCTTCTCATCATTACGCCTTTTATAAGTTAGGGTTTTTCCTCTCCCCTCCGATTTGTTCTTTTCTTCTTTTTTTAGGGTTTTATTCGTTTCTGATTGGGGTTTTCTTGTTATTGTTTGGAAATGTTGACAGTGTTGTTCCCGCTCTACTATTACTATCAGAAGCACCCGGTAAATTTGATTCTCCTGGGTATTTTCACGATATCTTTTGCGTTCGCGATTGGGTTGACTTGCGCGTATACAAGCGGTGAGTAGAGTAATCTTTGATTTATCCCTTTTGGTGATTGGAAATTAGAATATAGGTTTTTAGTTGAGTCGATGTTGTCGCGTGTTTTGGGATAGATTTCTTCGTTCGGCCATGTCTTTGTGTTTCAAGATTCCATATTGGGTGCTCTTTTCTTCTCTCCCTGGAGATAGGCTCCTAAATAATCCTTCTATTTTAAGTCCACCGATGAAAATCTAAGATGCTGATTATTCGTGGAAGATGATTTTTGACATTTCTTCAGGCCATAGGATAAGAGGTTCCACAATTTAGATGCTGATATGATATATCTTGTGAAATGACTATTCTTTGATAGGATCCAAAGATATGTGGTAAATACTCCTCCTCTCCCCCTCTCCCTCAGCGTGGCCTACGGCCTACGAATTAAAGCAGTCCAACAGATTATTTGTTGTTTTTGCTTGGCTTTAGGAGGTTGTAAGTTTGGTGTAGGTTTTCGGGTATAAAATGATTTACATTTTGTATAACAGTATAAGTTGGTAAAAATGGTTTAGAAATAGTTCGTGGTCTGAGCTTTGAAACTTATGAACTAATCATGAACAGGGAAAGCAATTCTCGAGGCTGCAATTCTAACTGCCGTGGTTGTGGTTAGTCTCACCCTGTACACGTTCTGGGCGGCCAGAAGAGGCTATGATTTCAACTTCCTTGGTCCATTTCTGTTTGGTGCTCTGATTGTCCTCCTGTTCTTCGGTCTGATTCAGGTACTTGTGCTTTTTCAAGACATTTTTGCTCAATAGTTGCAACCCCTTGTGAGTATACTTGGAATTTAGTTCTTCATTAGTAAAATATGAACTCCATTCGTGGGTGCAGGCCTTCTTCCCATTGGGTCGGACTTCTATGATGATCTATGGGTGTGTGGCGTCCATCATTTTCTGTGGATACATCGTCTTTGACACCGATAATCTCATAAAAAGGTACTCATACGACGAGTACATATGGGCGTCTATTGCCTTGTATTTAGACATCATCAACCTTTTCCTCTCTCTACTACAAATCTTTAGAGCAGCTGAAAATTGAAGAGGGTTCACATTGTTGTTAGGTGTCCACTGAGATTTTTCCTTTGTGAAACAGGATCATTGTTATTAATAAATGTTCGTACGCTCTCTCTCTCTCTCTCTCCCTCTTCTTCTCCCCTGTTAATAACACCGTTGTGAAAAGCATCAAACTGTAATGTTTCTTTTACTGTTTACAGGTGATAGGTTGAGTCTCATGCCAATTGTAACTAAATAGATTATATCCCGAAATGCACATACTTGTACTTGAAAGTCAGCTATTGTTGAATGCGTTCTTGTCAATGTGTGTGGATGAACTACATTTTCTCTCAAGATAATTTGTAGATCTATTAAGTTAATGAAATTAATCAGTAGGAGAGGGAAACTTCTCTTGCAAGGTGACTAAAGCATCTACAACTATCATACATAGGAGGAATGATGTGGAAATCAGATTCGTATCTTGTATTGGTATGGTGTTCCAGTCAATCTTCATCGTGCACCGACATAAGAATGAATAATCTGACCAACTGAAATCAATGTCGTTTGAGAAATCAAGCTGTGTAGGAGCCTCTTTTATGGGTTTGAATTTTACATCACCTCAACTCAACTCGAGTATTTTCAATGGTAACAGGGCCACGGTCGGCCGTTGCCTTTTGCTTGCTCTTTCATTGTTACTCGATGACAGGTTTCATTGTTACTTGCTCATCATTAGATGTCCCTTTTTTTCTTTTCTTTTTTAATTTATCATTAGATGTTCTTTCCTTAAAAATATTTGTATCAAGTCTCTAGCAGGTTCGATTCAAGTAATATTCCGCTTCTAGGACCGATCAAAATAATGGTTTTTATTGGGATTTCTGCCACAAGTGATTCAGATCTCCCTGCCATCTCCCTCCTTCCCTGTGTACATTCTTCCAACGGGGAAATTAAAGTGCTGAAACTAACCACATTCAACTAAACTAGGCACTATCTAAGTCACAATTACAACAGAGATGAAACATTAAAACTTCCTAATATCTGTTCTTTGAATCAGCTACCATCGAAAGAAGCCTTGAAACGCCTTGTGTCCACAGATCATACTCGCTCTGGCTTCTGCATTCGAACTCTACTAAGCCTCGCAATTCTGTCTTCAATCCAAAGTAACGTCGCTGCTCTCCGCCCTCAAACAAATGTCGTCCAGGCCATGCTGGTACGTCTTTGCACACCCCAAACACCACATCTGCACCCAATGCCAACAACAAATACTATTAGAACATCAAGCTTCAACTATAATTACCAAGTTGTTAATGAAATGGTAAACATTCAGCCACCACTTACTCTTTTTCTTTTTGGTGATTGTTCCTGCAACATGTCTGCTCTTCATCTTCAGCATCACCTGCCCTGTGCGGTGAATGTAAACAGAAACTATTTTCCAGTGAAGATCGCCTGCATTATCGATTCAAACCCATCGCATCAATGTTATTTCCAAATGGAGAAGTGTTTGAGAAAATATGTTTCGAAAGAACACCTTTGCGGGTGCGCTTGAGGAGCTCGGTGCCTCTAGCAAGTAGATCTTGGGTTCGAACGTATAGGTAATTCTCAGCTTGGTGAATCTCTGCCTCTTGGTTATGCCCATCGTTGGAATGAGGTGTGTTGGCTTTACCACAGACACCCATTGGTACTCCTTTCTCCACTGGTAATACTGATGAGATGTTCCATACTTCCTTTAGTGCTCTTGCCTTCAGTGTTGCTGCTCCTCGTAGAGCTACAAAAACAAAGACAGAAAAATGCTTCATATTTTACATTTTTGGGTCTGTTTCTTTTTCATCTGAGAGAAGAAACACATATACAAAAGCTTGGCATCTAAACTTCCACACTCTGTTTTTCACATTTGCTCTGTTTTCGGTTTTTGTAGTTACAGATTTTCTAGATTTTTATGAACCAAAGTTGAAGGGAGTAGACGAATTTTTTGCTGTCTTACCAGTAGCTGCTGCAGCAGTAAGAGTAGAGATATCATCATGTGATCTAACGTTAACAGCAGAGCTAATAACCGAAGCAAGGTGGTCTCTTTCAGCCCCCATTGCCTCAGCAGCCTCCACACACTGAGCAGCCACCAGGGTAGCGGCTGAGGCCACCGCCATGTCCGTCTTAGCCGACTGCTCATTCTTCTTGGACGAAGAAGAAGCTGCTTGGAATGCTGCAATGGCCGCCACCGCAGCAGCCACCGCAGCAACCGAAACAGCAGCATGGAGTTGGGCATTGTGGGCTCTGTTCTCTTCCTTCTTCTTTTCTTTTCTGTCCTTCAGCCACCTCCCCACCGTCTTTGATCCGCCGCCGGCAGTTCCACCGACATTTCCGGCACTCGCACGGCCATTTGTGAACAGTGGCTGAATGCTGTGGTTGGCTCGAAAGAACTGCACGCAGAGGAAGATCAGTCAAGAGAAATCAGTGTTAAAGATTAAGTAACGATTGTTGGTTTAAACAAATTCAAAAAAGAAATCTCTTAGACATCATGAAAATGACAAGTGGATTACTGTTTACTGTGAAGCTTAGGCCATTGGTTACGTAATAAAAGGAAGCCACAGCAAGCAAGCAAGAGCCAGAAACTGCTGGCTCCCAAATTGGAAAGAAACAGACGCGGTAAAAGTAAAACCAGGGACTTGCTCCATTTTTACCATACCGCAAGATCCTAAACCAAACTACTTTTGTTAACCATGGCTCAGGTAACTTTACCTTCCTAAAAAGGGGAGTTCTACAGAAAATTACAAGATACAAACACCAAACTTAAGTATATAAGTTAAGAAAAGAAGCATTATTTTAATCTAAAGCATTTTATGTTGGAAATGTGTAATACGAATTTTAAGGAGAAGGAGAAAAAGCTGCAGCAAGGTTGCAGTTGGGTTGGCTTAGAACACACTACAGACTGCAGAGTGTGCATCAGAAGGCTGCAGAGGGAGACAGAGAAAGCAGAAGGCTTGTCTCCTAAATTCGAAATTCTAGAGAGATTTGTCTGTTTGTTGGGTTGGGTATGGTACCTTAACAACGTCGTCGAAGTCGTCGGAGGGGGACACCGGCGGGCTGTCTGTTTCCGTCAAAGAGCCACCGCCGTTGAGAGGACCGCTGCTGTGGGAAAGCCTCCCAGAAGTTAAAGGCGACACTTCCTGCAAAACAGAGCAAAGCAGAGGAAAATGAAAATCTGTGATTTAAGATTAGGAAAGTTGAAGAAAGAAAAGGGTTGTAATTTGTGCTATGAAATTTACAAGAATCTGACCTCCCTGACGGACTGAGACATAATGCGATCAAGGACGAGCTGAGAGGTGGCGGAGGAAGAGAAAGAGAAATGGGGGTTTCCGTGGAGAACAGGGAAGTCGTCGAAGTCGCCGGAGACATCTTCGGGAATGGACATGGAGGAGGTGGTACACGAAGACCCACTTGTGGATTTGGGAATTGGAGGCATGTTCAGCAAGCACGAAGAAGGGGGAGCCGGCGCCGGCGCCGGAGCCAGAGCCTTCGAGACTTCGAGCGCAGAGGCGCTCCACGAGCGCGACAGAAACTCCATTGGAGCTCTTGGGCTCTCCGGTAACTGATTTCTACACGCCTTCAATGGGTAAGACTCATCCATTAAAGAACCTCAAACACAGTTTCAATTTCACTTCACACTTCACACACAGTGGGAGCTTGCCTTGCCTTGCCTCTTTTAACAGCACAGGGTTTTATGCTTATGCTTCAAGGTTCAAACATATGGTCAACACAGTGAATAAAATGTGGGCCACACACTAGTCAAATTTCCCATGTGCCCCCAAAGCAAAAGATACACCTACATTTACAACAAAAATCAATCTTTTTATTTTATTTATTATGAAAAAGCAACGCTTTATTCTGGTTATGGTTTGGGAAATAAAATTTAGTTCATTTGCTACTGTTCTTTCTCAAAATGTTTTCTTTTTTTATGATTGGAGTGATCTTTAACCCTTTTTTTCCTTTTCAAAATAAGCTATATAAATGAAAGGTTCAGAAATTGATTTTAAGTATTGAAATGATGCGATTTGGAATCTGGATTTGACCCTATAGACCAACACGAGTCCTTACTATAGTCAAGCACGTTTAACTTTGGAATTCTTACTATTGAGTTATCGAAAAGGAAGGTGGTATAGATATCGAAAAGGAAGGTGGTATAGATAGTGACTAACAATTCTTTTAAGTCTTTTTTTACCATTCTTCTATGATCTCAAGATCTCTCTCATTCATATGTGGTATCGATTTATTCATATATCCCTCCTATCTACTCGGACGTCACATCTCCTGTCCTAATGATGGAACGAGAAGTTATTAGTTTTGCAGGAATAAGGGAGGCAGAATATTGAAAGAAATAATCGAGGATTATGCTTTAATGAGGTGTTGATGTTCATGAGATTCAAATCAGCTTCTTCCTTTAGAAAAAGAAAAAGAGGAGCAAAGGGCAAAATGCACACATCCCCAAGAGTCTTTATCAAAATGAGCTTTGGGCCAAGTCAAAAAGTGAGGTAGCTCCCTCTATATTATTTATGTACACACTTCACACTACACTCACAATTGCATATCTATCATATATATCTTTCACCTTTAATCATATTCCTTGCTTCTATTGTTTCATTTCCTACACTTTTGCATTTTTTTTATTCACATTCTCATTATTATAATGAGAGAAAATGACAATTTTGGATGATCACACCCCACCTATAATTGCCTTGTAATTATGAACAAAATGATAACTAAATTTCAAGAGGATACACATCACTCATATGTCATGTATTTCTTTATTTATTTGGTTTATCTATATGCTTATGTTTTGATTTATTAGGTAAAAAGTAAGCAACCACAAGTAGTGGATCAGAATGATAGTCCTACAATTGATTTAAAGGAGATATAAATGCTTCAAATAGGACATGGATATGGACAATTTTTCAGAAACGGGGTTGATTATTTCAACGACAACGAGAGATATTGCGAACCGATTATAAATTACCTTAAACTTCTCGTGAAGGGACAGCAATGATGCAGCACACAGGCTTGCGAGACACACTTTGAGGCGGAAGGAATCAATGATATGAATGGAAGATTGGCTTATGGAAATGACAAATTTTCTTGCATTTGGGTGTTTGGATACTTTATTTTGATTTGTTTTGTTTTCTTTCCTTTAAAAAATAAGATACAAATGCAATCAAGAGATTGTGAGTTTGATCTCCGATCCTCATATATTGTACTAAAAAAAGAGATAAATCTCATAAAAAAAATAGAAAGTAGAATTATATGTTTAAGTCATATATTTTGGTAATTATTTTTTTATAATAATTTTATTTTGGTTTGTAATTTTTGTTTGATTCTCAAATTGCATATAAGACCATATTGGTCATTGTCATTAATTTATTATAATGGTTTGAAAAAATTTTGAATATGTTTTAATCTACCTAACATACCTTTTTAAAAAAATAACAAAGACTAAAATGCATTTTTTTAGTACAAAGTTTAGAAACTAAAATTTTGGTAGGGATCAAAATAAAATATAAACTTGTGTTATATATACTTCTGAAATAAAAAACTACAAGATATAAGAATTTTGAACAATATAATTGTTTTCTTTTTGTTAACTTTAATTGCTTTTTTGCCAACATAATGCTATAAAGAGAGACAAGAGAGAAAAATGAAGATGAACAAAATGGCAAGTGTTTTTTAAGTGGAATGAAAGAGAAAGAGAAAAATAAAATAAAATAAAATAAAGTAATACATCTAAGCAAAGAAATATTGTTTTGTGGGCCAACCCAGATGAGAAAATTACCTGTTGAGGGAGAAAGTAATCTACTTTAACCAAAGTATAATCCATTATTGTATGGGAAAAGGTAGAAGTCAATTAGCCAATTATGAAACAAAAAGAATTTCTGATCAGATGGTAAACTTTGCTGTCTTTTCTCTTGTACTTTCTTATTAATATTTTGAAACATCTTTTTTAAATAATAAGTTAATCAATTCAATCTTTCTTTTTTGTTAGCGTTATTTTTAGAAGCGAAGAAATTTGCATATTTTCTAAAGACTAATCCAAGAAATCAGTCGAGATTTTTGGAGCCAATTTTAAAAAATGGTTAATTTATTAGAACTAATAATTTATTTTTCCATATCACTACGAGATGAGCAGTAAGGTAAAATGTAAGATGGAAAGTATCTAAATAAAATGGTTCATAAGAATAGTAAGCTTGCGTACACCTCGACTGATCTCACAATACAATCGTCTGACCCTACTATATTTGGTTGTCTCTACTATATCTAATTATCTAAGTAACTCGTAGCATATTAAATCCTAAGTAGCTAACTGGTAAGAATATTTGTAATGTAGATGGTAAGATAAGAGATTAAATGATTACAAACCGAACGTTGCCAACCAAATTAATTCACGTGATTACATATGGTTTTATGAAAATTTGTCTAATTCTAACTAAGGAGGAATAAAAGTCAACTTGACATTGAAATTTAAACTATATACTTCAAATTGGGAATAATCAAGATTAAAGGAAATAATGGATGATTTATGTTTTATGTTGAAAATTAAAACACTTTAGTCTCCCATCAATCACCATAAACCCTTTTGAAAGAAAGAAAGGGAATAATCTTGAGGCAATGATCACAAGTTGACCGATCAACGAGGATATTCATTAAAATGAGTGAAATTCCATTGGGTTTTTTTTGTTTGTTCTGAAATGTCCCGGGATCCCAAATCAATCATGTTTCCTTTTTTCTTCCAATGTTTGAAGTTTGAATGAAGCAGTAGGGCCAACCGGAGCAAAGGAAAACCCACAAACCCATTTTCAAAGTTTTGAAGTTGAACACAAAACACACATCCCATCAGCTCTGCCACAATTTGGGCCACATCCCAGAAAAGAGGGCCCCTTTCGGGTCCATTTGATAGGTGTCAACTTCGAAGAATTCAAGTACGATAAAAATTTATTTTGGTTGTTTTCAAAATTGAGAATGTTTACGGAGAAATCAGAATTAACCGTAAAATATTTAGATTTCTTAAAAGAATTGAAACAAGAAACGTGAATGTTACCAAATCGGTCCTTTCCCTTCCCGATCAAGCTGTGCTAGTAGTGACCTAAGCAGGTGAACACATTGCATTCAAATTCCTACATTGGCATAACTCATAGGTGTTGGCAATGTCCTAAGCCGACATGTTTGAAGGTGCAGACAAAAACTTGGAGCTGATCCAAAGCTTCCCTCTCTTCAGCCTTTGTATGACAAAGCTGTTGCTGTTTCTGTTTCTGTTTCTGTTGGAGATAGAGAACGGAGAGTGACCTATGCTACTATGCGCGTGCCTGCTCGTACAATCCTCATCATCTGCCTCCTTCTCTGCAATTTTTATTATGCCCACCAAAAAAAAAAAACTCACTTTTCATAATTTTCTGGCCCTGAAAAAGATCAAGCACAGAGGAGGGGGGAGAGGGAGAAATGGGCACTGTTCTTTTTTTCTTTTTCATTTTTATTTTTTAATATCTCTTTTCTGAAAGTGGTTTTGTTGCGTAGTTCTTGCTTTTGAACAAAAAGGAAAAACCTTTATTCCTTTTGCCTCATTTTCTCTATGGTCATCTCGACATGGCCTTCCTATTTCATTGTTTTGTTGCTCTTTTGTGTTATTAGACGTTTTTGTTCTCTATTCGTTTCCATCAAATTGGCATGGCTATGGGTAGCTATGGTGTAGGCCTCTGTAAAGAGATGGTTATCCATTATAGAGCTACGAGAATCCCGAAAAGGAATTTCTTTCTTCCGTTGTGTCATCATTCCCATCAGGATTTCAATCAATTAAGTTCCTCAAACATTCTTTTTGTCCACTTATTGGTTTTTGAATGAGAATTAATAATTCGTCCGTATTTTGCATAACAGAGCTTGGAATGAACATAGCCATTGGTTTCCCATCATTAAATCCTTGAACCTTCTTCAAATTTTTCATTTTTTTGGTTTCACTGAAATGTAGAGCAGAATTTCCTCAGCAAGATTATTTCTGATATGTATGTCCATTAAGAGATTGATGTTCTTGGAGCTGTTCAGCCGACAGAACCAGATGGTAGTTTTCGGTTAAGAGAAGTTGCAACAACAAACCAATATCTTCAAATCTTTCAAAGTGTAATAACCAACATAATAATATACTCCAGCTCGAAGCTGGTGAATGAGAAATCAAGTCATGATTCCAGCAGAAGGGCTTTGTACTGCCAGTTCCAAGTTTGGTTTCAAAGCATTCACTTGAAATCTAGGAATCTCATGGCCAGTAATGGCTTTTGATTTCGGTTGTTGCAAAGGTTGTTTGAAATTTGAGCAGTATTTTGGAGCAAAAGGCCGTTTGGGGGAATGGTGATGACGTCTCTATGGAGAGAGAAGGAGAGAATCTGCAGAAGGAGCCAAAGTGAATTCTGCAACTCTGTCCATGTTATCGGAGTTAAGAGAGACATCCTGAGATTCCAATCTCTGAATGGAACCAGAAATGGGTGTACAGGGCGTGGTAAAAACGGCAGCCTTTTTATTACAGTGGAAGAGATGCACTGCGAGGTGACCAAAATCTTTCATTAACGCTGTCAATTTTAAGAGAATAGTGGAGCAGTTAAAGAAGTAAAGAACACACACAAAAAGTTCTCCTGTGGTCTTTAATAGGCATAAGAGGTGAATTATATATCTCATTTGGTTCCAGAAACAAGTGGATTCTGGCCAGGTCATTTGATCTCCAAGGATATGAATGATTAAGCTGGCTTTAATAGGAAAGATGGTTCAAAAATTGTTTAATCAATTGCAGCAGAAAGTGAACTGCAGCAAAACTCACGTGACGGTTGGTAATTTATCTCATTTCTCATGTTAGTTCATAACAGTTCCCTCGATTCAACATTCCCTTTTAATCCTAAAATCTACCATATAGAGTTTAATCGTGCATTTAAGGGTGTTTAATGGCAATTTTGATTGTAATTGTCTGTGTTTAAACGGTATGCTTGTTTATCAATAATTTCTTTTTCGTGGTCTGCATCTTGTAAAAGTTTTCAGAATCTTATTCAAAATTTAAAACTAAAAAGGTAATTTTCAAAAAAAGAAATCAAAAGTGTTTTTGGAAAGTAGAAACTAAAGCAAAGGACTCAGGGAAAGAAAACCTAAAAGAAGAGAATTATGAAGCAGGGCCAAAGAAAACAAAATTACAATTAGGAAAAGAGGATGAGTGAAACATATCTGTACGTGTTGTTCATTGCAATTTCTGCATTTTTGTGTTGCATACTTTCAAATTAGGAAGCCCTTGACCGAATGTTTTGTCTAGGTTAGATCTGTGACTTCTGAATAAATTTTGTACGAGTAGAATGCCTTTGTTTTTTCCTAAAGAAATGGAAGATAAGATAAGGAGAGAATAGGTAGATTTTCGTTCAAAGTAGTCCTTTTTGCATCAAAATCAGGTAACACAAAACACGCAAGATTCCATCACTCCCAGAATTGGGTTGCCTTGGGATGGTTGTCTCTTGTCTCCTTGCAGTTGGGGAATCTGCTCTCCTTCTATTTCATTTTGCTAATTTTTTAGTTAACTTTGGAAGTCAGGTTGTGTGACATGTTTTACTATACTGTATATGGCCATCCTTCACATCAGTTGCAAGGTTCGGTCGCTAGAAAATAGACTTAGCTTCGGTAAAAGGCCATCTTTAGAGCTGGCCTCGTGTATAGATAGACCTCCGCAACTTGCCTAGCAGCTCTCCTCCTTTCAACTATTTTTTCTTTTCTGTTCTGAATTTAGAGCAAGAGCATAGGTTATATAATCTGCATTACTTCAATATGCCATAAACAGAATGTACATCCTCAAATATAGTAAAAAATTCGAAGATCATCTACTACCAATGTTCTCTTTCATTATAATTGAATGGTCAGCTAGTCTTCTTATTAATAACAAAAACAAAATAAAAATATAGAATATCATCAAGACACTCTGGAAAGATGCAGTGAACTGGAAGCAAATTCATTGTTAGAACAGCTTCCTCTAAATTAGATGGTAGCTTGAAACGTACAGGATGTTCTGAAAGCTACAGAAAAGTAGATCCCCTACTGTATGAAAAAAAGTAAATATGTGAGTGTGAAACTCAGTTGGAAGAAATGTCTAGAGACCTTCATTTTCAGTTGTTTAATCTATGCTGATTATCTAACAATGAAGTTGAATAGCTCCATGGACCTACTGTTGGACTTGGAGACATGGTGGCGTGCATGCATCCGCAGAATGTAGCTTTCTTGTGCTTATTCTTGCTTCTAATGCTACCATAAAGATAATCCTGCAGGCGAATTTTGGGTCGTTCTATGATCCTGGCCTTACTCTTGTTTTCTTTTTCTTCATCTTGTTTCAGTAGAAGAAACTGTAACCTCTGCACCTCAAGTTGCAGCTGCCCAATCTTTTTGGACCCTCTTCTTGCTTGGGCTGAGATTATCCGTTTTCGGACACTTCCAGTTTCATCAGATACAATGGTGGATGCTCCATCAGAAGACAGGGTACCATCTTGTACATTCTTCATCAATTTGCAGTTTGCATTAAACAGCTTCATGACAGCAGCCTCAACTTCATCAAGTTGCTCTTTCATGGTGTCATATTCCGCAGCATTGTTCCTTTTACTCTGCTTTGTAATCACGATCCGCATTAAATCTTGAACAGTTATTTGGAGGTTTGTCAATTTCTGCATATCAGAATCAAGTCTTTCAAGGATCTTCCTCTCTTTGCGTTTGTGGAGTGGCACTGGCACTCTACTTGTGGTCTCTAATATATCCACTCCCACCTCTTTCTCAACCAATGAATCAGTAGAGCGGCGCTTATTCTGCTCCTTAACTACTTCAAACCTGTTATAGTTAGTTGAAGAAGTGGCAGTGTTCTGAGATTTGCAAACCATAAGATCAATGCTGCCATCCTCATCAGTTGCCTCCCATAATTCTAGCATCTGATTATAAGCATCTACATTCTCTATCCTGTCAGCTCCGTTAGAACATTTGGCTATCTGATCGAGAATGATGTCCTTTGTCAGTATTTCACCACTAACTTCAAATACTTTAGTCTTTGATCTCTGCAGTTCATTTCCAAGTTCAATCTCTCTTCTTGGAGTAGTTGGCCTTGTCTGGTTATTTTCTCTAACCAAACTACTTCCACAAGTCGCCTCAACCTTTCTCGTTACCGTCTCTTGTTTGCTAGTAGAATTCAAATTTTCAAGAGTCTCAAGTTTCACTTTTTCTATTACAACCATTTCCACAGCCTGGATCCTTCTATGCAAATCTTTCAATTCAAAAGATCCATTGTGCAGTGTCGCAATCAGATCGTGATATCCTTGCTGGTAGCATTCAAAATGCTGATGATCTACTGGATCGATATCCTGCAAATTAATGGAGTATAAGTTTTATACCAAGAAAATAAAATAAAATAGGCCAAGAAAGTATATGGCATCACAGTGTCATGACAGTTACCATCTCTTGTCCTCCCAGTACACTTACGGTTCGAATGTAGGAGTAAATTTTAAAATCCAAACTGAAAACCAGTTAAAGATTTATGAAAATGTTATTTTGAGATAAAAGGGCTAAGTTTAGTGAGCTGGAACTGGAAGCATCAAGCTGTAAAGAAAGTTCATACTGTTCAAGCAATACCAAGTTCTCCCAAACAAAATGCATGAATATAGCAATATGCCCTGTTTATAAGCAGATAAAATCATTACCTTTACTTCTTGTTTCTCATATTTGTGAGCTTTTTTTCCCAGAAGAGTATGCTTCTCCAGATAGGTCACAGAATCGTTCAAAGACGTAACAGCCGAGATATATTTGGCCAAATGAGCTCCTAGTTCCCCACTTAGATCGCTTATGCTATTGATTCTTTCCCTACGAGTGTCAGTCTTCACATCTCTATAATTACTTCTGTCTTTGAGGTTCGCATATGCCTCATTGAGTTCAAGAAGCTTTCCCCTAAATATTATTTCATGAACAGTAGAGATTTGGAGCTCACAAAACAATTCAGCAGCCTGAGTCTCACATCTCTCAACCTTCATTCTCTTCTTTACTAGCTCACTCCTCAAACTTTTCTCCCTATGTTTATGCCGTTTGACATCTTCTAGCATTTTTCCAAGTTCCACTTCCAAAGTAAAGTTTAGTTTCCGCAGAGATGCTATCTCACTGATTAGATGTTTGCTATCACCAGATAGTTTGACAATTTGGTTCTCTTTCTCTTCCACAATCGCGTTAGCCTCTTCACACATAATAGTAAGTTCCTCAACTCTCTTATGCAACTCTGACTTCTCATTCTGTATCATGATCAAAATCTGTTCTGCTTCCAAAAGCTCATGCTCTGACCTGTCTAATGACTTCCTGAGATGCAAGTTTTTCAATTGTACATCTTCCAGATTGCCTTCCAGCAACCTTACTTTCTCTTCAAGATCATTATTCAAGCAGTGAAGCTTTTCCAGATTTTCAGCAAGTCGTTTTCTTTCAGAGTTAGCATCAGAAAGTGAACTCTCAAGAAGAGTGTTTTTCTCTGAGAGTTTCTCAAAGTTATCAGTTGCCATCTGCAACTGAGAAGACAGGATGGTCCTCTCAGTCACAAGAGTGGATTTCTCTCCTGAGAGAAGTTCACAGCATTCTTCCAATATCTTCACCTTTGTTTGATGACTTTCCAACTCGATGTGTAAATCTGAGATAGTATTCTCTAGAAGAGAATTTTTCTCGCAATGTTCTTCCATGACTTCCAATTTCTCCAAGAGAGCTGATTTTTCTCTTTTTTCCATCTCAATATTATCTATCATCTTTGAATACTCATCACATAGTTCTTTCACGGATGATCCAAAGTTCTCAGGAGCAAAGCCGACGGACTCAATCTGCTCCAACATAATCAAATTCTTCGCTTTTAGATCGTTTAGCTCTTCTTTTAGACAGAACATTTCTCTCTCAAGAGAATTCTTTTGGTCAACTTGAAACTCAAGACTTGCTTCTAGTTTTTCCAAATTTGTAGTCATATTCAACATCTCATCCCGCAAACAGTTTATGGACATCTCCGATGATAAGTTAAGGTCTTTCAAGCTCCTTTTCTCCTCCTCAATCTTCTGGACTTCACCCTCTAGAACCTGATTTCGACTTTCCATATCCTTCAATGTCTGAACCTGAATCTGGCTTTCTTGGGCCATTGATCTGATTTCTTCCTGAGATTTGGAATGCAGTTCTTGCAATGTTCTGAAAGCAGTGTCATTCTCCACATATCGTAAATGCTCTTCCTGCATACAAGCCCAAAGCCTTCCTAACTCCTTCTGCTTCTCTATTAATTCTACACTTTGTGTGCCTATCTTCTGCACCATAGATTCCATCTCAGATTGAAGAATCTGATTTGATCTCTGTAAATGAAGGCACCTATCTTCAGCACCCTTCAACTTCGCAACCCCATTATCTTTTTCATCCTGTAACCTTTCTAGCTCCTTTTGGACGCTAGAGATTTGATGTTCCAGACCAGCAATCTTATCTGTACACAGCTGATGCCTGAGACCAGCAGCTTTTGTTTCTTCAACTAATTGTGTGAGCGCTTCTCTAATGGTTAAAACTTCACTTTGAGCTTCATCAGCTTGCTCCTTGTATCTCCTGGCATCCTCTTCTGCATGCGCAACTCTTTCCTCTAAGCTTAAAATTATGTCTGAAGACTCCCTATATTGGACAAGAGCAGCTTCTCTATGAGATTCAACACTTGAAATTTCCCATTTTAGTCTTTCAACTTCAGTTTCGGCTTTACTTGCTCTCTCGGTATTTTCGACATTCTTTTGGACATACAAGATGCTGTCTTGTAGAGTAGATAACTTGTCTAAACATTGCTGGTATTTTAGAAGACTGGTTTCTCTTTCAGTCTCTAGCTTGGCGAGGGACTCTTTCAAAGTCAGAACCTCGGTCTCCGCCTTACCAGCTCTTTCGTCTAAACTCCTCGAATCCTCTTGAGTACGAAAGACTTCGGACTCTAATTTAGACAACCTTTGTAGACTGTCATTGTACTGAAGTAAGCCTGCTTCCTTTTCAGCTTCTAATTTGGCAAGCGCATTTTTTAAGGATAAAATCTCAGTCTCAGCTCTGTCCACCCTTTCAGACTCGAAAGTTACTTGATTCTTAAAATCATGGCTCCCATTATTTTGTATATTCTCTTCTTCGGAATCGAGATCATGAAAATTGAGACCTTTTCTCGCCGTCCCATCTTCAAACTTTGAAAGGTTCCTGGCTTCTCCTGAATTGAACAACTCATTAAGATGCTTCAACCACTTCTCCCTTGTCATCAAATTGGAGCCTTTGCTGGAAACTTGATTTTTTTCCCCAAGGCCAACACAAAATGTAGGTAAGCCGAGAGCATCCGGTTCCAGAGCGTTGTAATCAAATGAGGTGCAAACATGGGATGATTTCTCAGGTGTCCGAAAATTAGCATCAGAAGCAGCAGGGCTATCATCAGGGTGCACAATGGATATATGATTAGGAAAAGCTTCTGCCATTGTTCGATGAGCCTGGTGAAGCACTACTGTTGCGTGATGATATCTTTCGGCCAACGCTCGGTATGCTCGATAAAACTCTTCAACTAGTTTCATAAGCTCTGGACGCTTTTTATAATACATCTCAGCCCTCTTTGCAAAAGAATCTGCATCTTCTTCAATAAGCTTGATCATCTGTTTGATCTTTTCATCCATGTCTGTCAAGAACAGATAAGAAATCAAATGACTACTCATAGATGGAGCAGAACTGACAAAGACAAGGCGAAAGGGAGCAGTTGAAAATCATATTTTGAAACAAGAACAGAACATTAGAAAATTTGAGTTGCACAGACGACAAAGGAGCACCTGAAAGATTCTCTACAAGCCATTTAGAGGTCTTTGGGCTTATGTGGCTATCCCACCACCAAGAATACGAACGCTTAGAATCTGCAACCAAAGGGGTTTCCATGGATTCCCCACCCCACGCCCTGCACCACTCACTCTTTGTGTTTCAACCCAGATGCAAGAATTAACCCAAAACCTTACAAATGTGAACCCCAACCATCCCAGCCAAAGAATATGAAAACTGGATCAAGCCGTCGTCTCTGGTCTGGTCGCCTTGTTATCTAAAAGCAAGTTTTCAAAAGAATGAAACGCCAGAATTTAGCTTTTTCCATACTCAGTTTAGAAGATGAAAGTTAACTGAGAAAAGGGTCCAAAAGAGAGTGATAAGTACCTGAACAACATGATGGGTTATGTTCATTAATCTTTTTCTGCTCAGTAGTTCGAGCAATCTACCTGATTAAGACCAACATTCACACAGCAAAGGGCGTCAGATTCATACATTATGGGCAAGAGTTGGAGAATTGGAGTGAAAAATCAGGAGGAGCAATCATTTCCAAGAACAAGAGCGAGCAAGAGGAGTTTTAATGGCTTCTGAATGGTAATTTTGCAAACAACTGATACGTGTTACAGAGAAATATTCAAGGATCAAAGAGTTTACCAAACAGATTCTTTGTTTTAATCCTGGAATAGTTACTGCCGCTGCTTTTGCTTTCTCTTCCATTCATCCATGTCTTCAGTATTCTTCTTTATTTCTCCCTCCTGGTTTTCCTTGCTTTTTATGCAGTCTACTGGTAAATATTTCAGCTTTTTGCAAACTCTGTGCCCAAAGATGAAAAGCAAACACCACCGTTAAGGAAAAAAGAGAGAAATTTTCACTAGAGAGAGAAGCAAGCTGCCAACTTTTTTTCCTTTAAAGAAAGTAAAGAATCGATCTTTCTGTTGTCATTTATACAAATCTGGATCAATTCCTTCATACTTACTCAATTTTATTTGTTAAAAAGAAAAAGAAAAATATAGAGAGAGGGAGATTTTGGGAATAGTTTGACATAGGAACGTGGGACGGAATGGAAACGAAATAAAGGCTTGCGTATGAGTATGATGGAAACTGGAAAGAGAAGTAGAATAATTGCTCTGTTTAGAGCTTCAAAAATGTCTTATTCTCCCATTTTGTTGTTTCTTTGGGATTTTACTAAATTTCGGCCATTTAACCGATTGCCCCAACAAAAATAAACCTTCCATTGGGTTCTGAAGAGTTTGACTTTGTGAGTGATTTTTGTCCCCATGATTTCAGCAATTAATGATAATAAATAAATAGAGATTGCAATATTCAAGTTCCCTTACTTTTTCCCCATGATTTTAGATCTATCTATTGGATAATTACTTCCTCAAAAGAAAAAAAAAAAGGAGAATTAATGAGGAGAGTAATTGAAGGCAAATATTTGTAAATTTGAAGCCTTTTTGTCAATTTAATTATAGTGTAATTGGCTGAGGTATATATCATCAAAATGTTCGATATTTAAGTTTGGGGGTGGTTTTTTTTATTTAGTACAATAATTTAGGGATATGAAGGATCGAACCTTCACCTCGAGGGAAAAAGTACATGTCAATTGAAGATATATGTCAATTACCATTCAAGTATGTTTGCTTTAACTTGACGAATATTTTTTTCTTTATTTCGTAAGTATTTTTTTATAATATAAATATAAATTACTCCCGTACTTAAAAAGTTTCTCAATCTTAAGTATTTGTTTTTCTTTTTTTTTCCCGAAGTTTGATATTTGCGTGTATTGTGTAATGTGATTAAAGGAAAATTTGTATATTTAAACTTGTAAAATAATACTAAGTAGAATAATGATGGGATGAATAAATGTATATTGAAATTATTACAAAATGCACATGCCATATCATGGTGTTTATATCACAAAATCTCTTCTCAACCTACTATTAACTAAACAAATCATCTTTCATGCCATGAATGTATGAGATATTCTTTTTAAGAAGAAAAAAAGGTTATGAGACAAAAAATTTGAAAAAATAAAAGGAAGAAAATAAAGTGCTTTACGGGAATGTCATTTTCTAGATTGTAGATCAAACATATTTTAGATTTATCTTTCCCTTACATAAATAATTAATGGGTCATTGATTAAAATTTAATAATAGGAATGATGCATAATTAATATTTTTAAAGTAAAGTTATTTTTTAAATAAAAAAATATGGGTAATGTATAAGTGAAAATGATGAGAATAATAGACAAGTAGGGGTTTAGAATCATGCTTTGCTTTAGGGGAAAAAATATGCATAGGCATGCTTGGTATGTTTGTTTAGGGCTTTCTCTATAGTGAAATTAAAAAAAAAACAAAAACAAAAACAAAGGTGAGAATGGAAAGTGCAAGAAATAGAAAAATGGGTGAGAGAGAGAGAGAGAGACAGTGGATGTTCTTCACAACAGACAGCATTGATCATTTGGCCCAAACATGTTGCTCACATCTTAACAAGTCTACCCAAAAAAAGCCACAACTCACACACTCAATTTCATGTCCAAATCCAAATGCTATTAATTATATTGTTGGCTTTTTATTATTGTTTGAATCAATAAATTATAAGTATTGTTTAAACAAAAATAAATACATTGAATGTATTTGAATCCTCTGTGGATATGAAATTAGCACTTGATGAAGTTTTTGGACTTTTTAACTTTAAAAAGTAATTGTTTGCTAGATTTAAACTTGTCAAGCAAACAATCTCAGGGTAAATATGTAGAATTTGTAGGATCGTTAGTTATATATTCTTCTAAATAAGTTTTTTCATACAGCAAAAAAAGTATTTAACCGTTTTCACAATAGTGCCACGTGGAGGACGAGTATTCATCAACATTGAAACTCTTCTATTTTCGGTAGCTCCACCTCGAACCAACCGAGGTCAGAGATTGGCAATTTCCTGACATCTTTGTTCTCGAATATGGTTCAACCTGCTTTGGTTCGAGCTACGTAGCCCGACAGGTCCGACCTGAAAGACAACAAAGATAACTGCCGATCGTGAGGTCTGTCGGATCTCTCGCCTATAAATAGAGGGTTTCATTTTCATCTCAGGTATCGAATTTCTTCTCGAACTTCTTATTGAATCCGAGCTGCTTGCTGACTTAAGCGTTGAAGAGTTTGCCCTCTTGTACAGGTCAGTCCGAGGAGATTCGAAGTTGCTCAACAACCGAGTTCGACCTACACCAAGTCAAACCTTGTGCGAATTCTTACACAAACATATATGTTACCTACCTAGTTAATCCTAGGTTATAAAGGTTTGGATTTTCTTCCAAAGTTTTTATATCTATAAAAATGTTGTCATTAGTACACCAAAAATTATTTCACTTCTAATATGAGACTAAATTTATATCTTTAAGGAGTGTAATCTAAACAAATATTTACAAATAAACTAATAGGTTGCGGTCTCAATATATACTAAATACTCAGCTAATTTTCATATTGTTGTTAATTAGAGAGAGTTGTTGATGTAGATGAGGGGATTGAAGATGAAACTCATTTTTAATTCTAGAGATATAAAATAAAAAGAAATCTAAATTATTCTCAGAAATTATATTCATTCAGGTATAAGGTTATTAACATTTTGAAAAAGTAAAACTTGTGTACATCTATTTTGTGTCGGATAAGATTGTTGACCATCAAGACTCAAGCACGTGGCTGAATTTGATCTACACAAATTAAAAACTTTTTGACCATATAATATAATATTAAATATGAAACATGGTCCCTTTCCAACGTTGTCTATGTGTGCATCTTATGACCATATACAACCAAGCATCCTTAATTGCTAAAATTTGTGGTTTGTGGGTTAGTTTATTGTCTTATTAACAGTCACAAATTTTGTTTAATTATGAATCAAGGAAATAATAGAAGTCCTGTACCATTATTTTCAATTCAAAGTTCAATTCTCATTAATTTTAAACCAGTTATCAATAGAAATTTCAAACTCATATACATAACTATTTCATTTTTTAATTCTTAAACAATGTTGCTAATGAGATAATATATACTTTGTACATAAGAGAGTGTTTGGTTATGTATAATTATTTAATGAGTTTCATACAATATAAATAAATAACTTACTAACTCATATCTATGTAAATTAAATAACTATTCTTACAGAGATCGATCCAAAAAGATATATGACAACATGAACATAACTAAGTTCAAATCTCTTTATTGTACTTATAAAAAAAGTCTAGAAGGATATATAAGGAGAAAGACAAATAAAATCACATATTCTTTTGAATTTTTTGGTTTGTCATCCACCAGCCACTATTCCCATGTCTTGGGGGAACCGTTCCTCCTTTGTCCTATGCACAGAAAACAAAGTGATGAAAGGAAAAGATATGTCTTTGTAGTTTGTAAATAATATTAGGGTTCGGGAGCATGGAGTTTAACATTTTTCACTATTTAAAGTTTTAAAAGTTAGGAAAAATATATTTAGTTAACTATTTAACAAAGATTATTTTTATTCTTTTTCTTATCCGCAATAAATAATTTATTTATACCAAAACGAGCATCGTTTAGTGGTAATTGATGTTATCTCAAATTAAAAAGTTGTAAGTTCGATTCTCATTCTTATATTTAAAAAATAATAATAAATAACTTATTTATAGGATGGTCTTTGAAATAACTTATCTATAAAAAGAATTAAAGTTATTTTATTTTTAAAAATAATGAAAAGGAAGCATAGTCTACAAAATAATCCTTAAAAACTATTTGACAGGACTCTATTTTCACAAGAAAAACGATTTTGATTTTATTATTTCAGAGTTTTTTTCATTTAATTTTGCTACAAAATTATGCTGTCTTGTTCATTTACTAAAGAAGACAAATAAAAAAACAAAAATAAAATCCTTAAATTGTCATGATGTTGTTGGCTTGAAGGAAAGGCATTGAGTGTGAGGTGGCCCCCACAGAAATGACTTCCTTTGTCAGATGTCGGTTCTTTACTCTTCCTTCAGTCGTCTCCTATTTATAGGCTTTATGGATTATGGGCCTATCAATGAAGCCTACAATCAAATTGGGCCTCATCATCCAAAAAGCCCAATAGAAACCCATGGGCTAGAACTTTAACATTGTTGGATCGGCAACGACTCGGTCAGAATCGGAGAATTTCGGTAGCTTTCCGATGGACCACCGCCACGTTAAGCTCCTGGGTTTTGACCTTCTTTCACTCACTCAAACTTCATCTTCTTCCTCCTCCGATGCCGTCTCCTTCTCT